CTATATATATATATATATATATATATATATATATATATATATATGTGTGTGTGTGTAAATCTCATATGAGAAGGTAATAGGTAGTATGTCTTTCTCATAATAATAAGTGGATTGTCAACATTGTACGAATGTCAGTGGAAGGGGTGTGGATACATTGGTGGATCCACATAAAGATCAAAGGGGTTAACTACCCCTAGTCAAAACCAAAAAAACGTTACCTTATAGTTTTTTATCCCGAACTTATTGTTCTCGCCCCCTATCAAGAAATATCTCCCGAATCCTGTCTCTCAACATCAAAAATCTTGGATCAGACATTGTGTGGATGGGTCCACATTTGAGCCTCGTCGTTATCTGTCATTAAGATAATGATTATATATCGTTACAAATGTGCGATTCTTTAGTCATGCTAGCCAGTTGGCTGAATCTTGTAATGCAAACCATTGGTGTGTTGAGTCATCCCATGTACTCTTCATTGACAATAGGTATATTTTGATATAGAACCTTAAATGAAACTTTGATTGAATGCATGACCTTCAACTGAGTGTGGAACCATTTTTCTGTAATAGATCAAGAGGTTATAAGTTCAATTAAAATCGTATGTAAAGTTATATACCTAAATCGACAATAACCCTTTTTTATGTTTGTTTGCTTTAAACCATATATACACGACTTTTACGAATAAAGTTTTCTAAGAAGAATATTTGAATATCGTTATTCACCTATTACATATTTTTATACTTAAACTAAATCACGCGACATGCTTTCTATGTTTTTTCTCTGTTCTTCACAATAACAAATTTGAGGAAGCAATTATAGTATTTTTATGTGACATGTTGTCATATTTATTGCAGAATTGATGAATGCTTTGAACATGGATGATGCCATCCATTGGACAACTCATATACATACATATATACATGTGTGTATATATATATATATATATATATATATATATATATATGTTTTTTATAATAACCAAAACTTAAACATTTATACACCTACATACCATTCCTGAAACATCTATTATCAACATTAATGTTGGAGGTTTTATGCACCCTTCATACAAAATCTTCTAATCATAACCATTAGTTATAATTAGGACTATTATTAGAGTAAATGAATCCCAATGTATCTTTATCGAATAACATGCAATATGTATATATAGATAGAGAGAGTTCTGGAAAACTTATAAGAATGAAAATTTGAGAAACATTCTGATAACTATCTATCTATATGATGTACATATGTACATACAAGTAACTGAAGTTGTTTCTGATTCCTATACACGTGTCCATGTTATGCACATGTGCACACCGAACAAATTATTTGTATGCAAATGTGCATACTTGGTCGGAGCCGTTTTCACACACCCATGCACAGACTTACAATCAAGACCACCAGCAAGTATACAATTAGTCTCAATATCATCCTTCAAGTAATAAAGTGGTACACGAATTCAAGTAAATTGTCTTGTGTTCACATGTATACAGGTGAATAGTTATTGGAGTGTTTCTTTGACTTTTCATTTACTTTAGGGTTTTTCTCTTAATGCTCTCTCTCTCTCTCTCTCTCTATATATATATATATATATATATATATATATATTTTGATGCGTTTTGTGTTATGAAAGAATTTGTTGATAAAGTGTGATTACATATATTTAATCCAAGTGCCATAATTTGAAGCACACCAAACTCATCTGTAAAACCTTCATTCATTCATTCATGGTATTCATATATGTGTAGGAGGAAGATGGAGCGGTCATTAATTGACTTCCTCACTTGCACTTCTCTCTCTTCCTTTATCTTCCTCACATTATTGATGCCATAATTCTTCTTCTTTTACAACTCTGCACAATAATTTATGCCATTATTTACTTCTCTCTTTTAATATTATATATATATATATATTATTTACAGTTGTATATATATATATATGTACAGAATTGAGAGGATGGAGAGTATTATATAAAGAGTATGTGATGATTTGAATGTAAGAAGCAGGGTGTTTGCACACACAACAAGACCAACCAGAGTTGGCCACAACTCCAACTCATCAGAAAATTTCAAGCTTATGGCAATCACCAACCTCTCTCTTTTCAGTTTTCTCTTATCTTCTTCTCTTGCCACCCTCTTCACCCCCTCTCAAGGTTCCTCTCTCTCTCTCTACACACACTCTCTCTCTCTCTCTCTCTCTCACACACACACACACATATGTACATATGTATAATCTCTATATATATGTAATGTATGTGTATATAATAATTAAGGGCTGAAGATTTGTTGGTTCTTGTTTTTACTTCATTCTATTTCTGGGTTTGTGGTTGAAAGCTTCAGGTTTTTTGGCACAAAAGGTTACACCTTTATTGGAAAAGATTTCTTCAATATTCTTGTCAAAGAGAAGAAACCATTTTTTTAGGGTTTTTTCAACCTTATTTTGTTCTTCAAGGAAAACCCATATAAAACTTCTATGACATACCAATATATATATATATATATATATATATATATACACACACACACACTGAGTATCTAACAAAACGCAACTCAAATTTTCTGTCAGACCTTTATATCAATATTTTATTGTCAAGAGAAGGCATCATTTTTTAGGGTTTTTTCTATCTCCTTTTGTTCTTCAAGGAAGAAGACCCACATAAAACTTTTTATTACATTCCCGTTAACATATATACATACACACACACACACATACATATATATATATATACATATACATATGCATACATATATACATATATATATATATATATATATATATATACATACATACTTCAAATACACGGTATCTATCAAAACTCAAGTCAAATTTTCAGTCAGACCATTAAATCCAGCTTTTTAATTTATAACTTTATAAAACCAACATTAACAAATCACAAATCTTGTTCCAAGGGCAATATAGTAATTTCACTTCTGAAAATGCAGGTGAATACACACCCTGGCAAACTAAGTACCCTTTCATCCGACCATCAAGCTCCTTCTCACCACCACCACCGTCACCATCCACCGGTGGCGGCGGCCACGGAAAGGTGTATTATGACTACATTGTCGTTGGCGGAGGCACCGCCGGATGTCCGTTGGCCGCCACATTGTCCCAAAAGTATAAGGTCTTATTGGTGGAACGAGGTGGTGTTCCATTTGCAAATAGAAATGTGTCATTTTTGGCAAATTTCCATCTTACCCTTGCGGATCTTTCAAATACTTCTGCTTCACAATTCTTTGTGTCCACGGATGGAGTCTTCAACGCAAGAGCTAGGGTTTTGGGTGGTGGTACTGCCATCAATGCGGGATTTTACACACGAGCAAGCGCAAGGTACAACTCTTTAAAGCTTCGTGAATCTCTTCTTGTTCATCATTGTTTTGAAACCAAGAATCGTTTAATTGAAACGTTTAAACCACAAAATCGGGTTTATATAATGTCAAATGTGTATAAATATCGTATTAAGATCATCTTTAACACTGGTCTAAAAAAACAATGAAGTTTGGGCTCATTCATCCGACTGAAACTCGAAATACTAAAAGCCAGTGTACACATTTTTTAGAGACCATGAATAACGAACCTCCAAATGTAATTGAAGTCGTATCCATTTACTCAAAAGATTACAGATTGGTGGTAGATTCGAGTAACATAACCTCTGTTTTAGTGTTTCAGTGGTGGGTCGGAGATGCCCTTATCAGTATTGTTTTATAAGACTTAAGTTTATATAACCAAACAATTGTATATCGTAGTAGATAAGGTGTTATAATAAGTTGATAGAGAAATTTCTTCGACGTCCCAACAAGTTCTTTTACGTTCTATAAAATATGACATTATTTGAAATAAAATGTTTTCATATGACTATTCTCATATATAATGGTCTTATAAAAGACAAATTGCATGAAAAAATAACATACCTTAAATTGATTCCTATTTTGAGTAAGTATTTTTAAAACTTTCATTTTGGTACCTAAGATGTAAAGTTTTAAACATTTAAGTACTCGGGTAACAGGTTGAAGCATTAACCGGTTATCATGCTCATGTGGCAAGTGATGTGGTATTCAACTCAATATTATTTGTTATTCAATCCAATTTCATCTCATCACTCGTCACATCAGCATGGTAGCCGGTTAATGCTTTAATCGGCTGCTCGGGTACTTAAATGTTTAAAACTTTACATCTTAGGTAGTAAAATGGAAGTTTTGAGAGTATGTTACCCAAAATATGAATCAAATTAAAGTACGTTACTTTTTCATGAATTTGTCCTTATATATAATGCATAATTAACTACTTAAATAATTATTGTTGATAATGGATTAATGGTTCTAAAAGCATAGTGGTTTTGTGCATTAATGAATTTGTACTATATACATTATATGAGTTCTAATTTTAATGCCTTAAAACGAATTTCATCGCGAATTTATCACTATTTTCATCCATGATGTATTAATGACTTATTATATATGCATTAAAAGTTTTTCTTATACTTCTATATCCATATATTTTGTCACTTTCGTCATCTAGATGACAGCGACTCGTGCCTGTATATGTATATAAAGACGAACCTACCCTTAGGATGTGGTTGAAACCGCGAAAATGATGGACCGAGTGTAGTTAAGTTTTTAGGTCATAAAATATGGAACCATAAGAAATTCTTTTTGATGAAACTAAAACGGTAAAACTTCAAAGGCATATAACGAAAATATGTGAAATAAAACGTTAGATTCTTATGATATTTATTTTGTGATACCACTCTGAAAAATTATTAGATATGCCTCTGTATGTATAAATTGTACATATGTTTCCTTTTGAAAAGACAAAATTGCCCATCCACAAGGCTATCGTCTACTCGAACCCGAATATCATAAAACAAGCGTGTTATATAGACCATGGGGGCACGAAGCCAAGGGGTTATTTGACAACGGTTTTACGAAAATCATAATTTGACGGGCTGGCTAGCCTCTGTGGTTGGCCTTTTTTAAGATATTTTTTATTAATAGATTGTTACTTTATAACTATATATTTAGTTAATATAGTATGTTTTTCAAAATAAGAATTGAAACAAAATACATTTTGTTTTGATTTATTTATCCTAATTAAATAAAGTATTTTTATATTTATAAAAAAACTAAAAGCTTAAGTTACAGTTTTTCAGTTGAATATGAATGAAAATAGCCTTATACCATCACTATACCATCGCCCCCGCCCCCGCCCCCCACACTACCACCAAGAAAGAAACATACAAATCATGTGAAGTCTTTGGCTTTATGCTTGGACACGGTAAACAGATGGGCCGCCCAAAACCTGGAGCTGACATTGAAATCAACCAACTACTGGAATTAATGCAATAAGTTTCATTGTCTTTGAAATAACATGGGATTTGAGTCCCAACTGTAACACCCCCAAAGCCCAAGGTAATGGATTGACCCAATAAATTCGAATCCAACTTAAAATCATGGTGAAAGTTATTTGTAACCCATTACTTAAGATTTATAAGAAACAACAATTCTCACATCAACTCATTTTTTTAATTTAGAAAAAAAGATCATTAAATATGGACCACCTCCTTTCCCTTTCCCTTATATTTCAAGGATAGAGAATAGGATTTGGTGACATATAACTCCAAGTTAGATCCCACCATTGACTAATTTGCATTAATAAAAGATGTTGAGGATATTAATGTTATTCGATATTATTTTACCCGTTACAGTTTTTATGATAAATTATCATACTTAACCAATATTATTTTAAGCATAAATATCTATACTATATTATAAAACATTTGACAAAAACTCTTAAAAACCATCTTTTATATATGAAGTACTGCTTATTGATGCACGTTACTTGAAATTCAAGATTACAAGTAACTTATACGTAAGTATAACTTACTAAGCTCCATGTTTGAATTTGTGTAATTAACTGTAGATAAATGTAATCAAATACAGAATAAAATTCTTATTTTAAATATAATTAAGATAATTATTGAGTTTTAACAGAATACTTAGTTATTATCTTTATGAAAATTATATTATCAAACCAAAATTAAATTACTTCGTCATTAAACCTAAATTAAATTACAATAAAAAAATTGAATTAAAAAAATTACACAAAAAATGATAACTATATATATATATATATATATATATATACATATATCATGATATTTTCAAATTTATATTTTGTTAAGAAAAACATTATTGTTTACTCAAAATCACATACATTCATAATATAACATTGACAGAAACAATATTAATAAAATATTAAAATCAAGATATTACACAAGTACCTTTCTAGTATTATTTGATGTATGCCTCGTTTTACAGATCTGTTTAATTTGTCGGTATCAGTCCTTCAATTTGATGTATGCCTCGTTTTACTGATCTGTTTAATCATATAAATTCGTATTATGACACCGACAGAGACCAAAAAAGACAAAATAAAACATTAAAATCAAGATATATCTCGTTACATTGCACAAATATCTTTCTAATATCATTTGATGTATGCCTCGTTTTACTGATCTGTTTAATTTGTCAGTATCAATCCTTCAATTTGTTTAATGTGAATTGATGTTAAATTTAATGTTAGATTTGATGTTGTAAAAACAAATGGGGCATTAAAATTATGGTTCAAAATAATAAATAGTAGGGGTGGGGGTAGGTGATCAAGAACCAAATCAACATTAAAAGTGGGCATGTGAGACAAGGATTAACACATTTATTGTCGACCCATTTGTACCAATTCACATCAATGTTGTAGGACAACTATTTTTTTACTTTCCTTTTTTACCCTTTTTCTAATTGAAAAAATTAGTTGGTTTTCCATTTTTGCCCCTTTCGGTTTGAAAAGAACCATTTATTTGATTTCCTTATTTGCCCCTTCCATTTTTTATATAATATATTTTGTATACGACAAATGCAACAAATAAACTTACACACTCTCTTTACTATTGTTGGGGTTTGAACCTCTGAACTTATTAGGAGGTAAGAGACTCAGATTACCGCTAAGTCAAAGGTTCTTTGGTCCATTTCATTTTAAACATGACATCTCATTTTAAATTAAATTTGTAGATAAAAAAATCATGTAAAATAGCATATGATGCACCGGTTCTCAAGGTTATCACAATTTTATTATTGATTATATATTTTCGTTATCAATTTATTTTCTTATAACTAAATTTTAATTTATTATATTTAATTTATAGCTTTTATTATCAATTTATGCTAAACAGAAACTTACTAACCATCTATTTTTTGTAGTTATGTTAAGAGGGTAGGGTGGGATGCCAAATTGGTCAATGAATCGTACCCATGGGTCGAAAAACAAGTTGTTCATGAACCCATATTCGAACCGTGGCAAAGAGCGGTTCACGACGGTCTGTTGGATATTGGGGTTTCCCCCGATAACGGGTTCACATACGACCATTTGTATGGTACGAAGGTTGGTGGAACCATTTTCGACAAGTACGGTCGGAGACACACCGCTGCCGAGTTACTAGCCTCGGCAAACCATCAAAATCTCGACGTGTTGATTCACGCGAAAGTTCAAAACATCATGTTTGACACAACTGGTACGTGTTACATCGTGTTATTATGTATTTCTTTTCATAAAACCAGTTGTTCGTTTTAATTGCGATAAAAATAAATAAAACGTATTCAAATATATATAGGGAAGAAACCGAGGGCAATCGGAGTGGTTTTCCATGACGAAAATGGGGATAAACATGAGGCTTTTATTTCTAGGAGGCGAGGGAGTGAGGTTATCGTAACGTGTGGAGCCATCGGGAGCCCGCATCTACTATTACTTAGCGGGATCGGACCACAGGCCGATCTCGAGAAACTAAACATCTCGGTGGTGCACGATAACAAATTTGTCGGGAAAGACATGGTGGATAATCCGATGAATGCAATTTACGTTCCTTTCAACAGACCTGTGAAACAGTCTCTGATTGAAACCGTCGGGATTACGAAACACGGCGTGTATGTTGAAGCGAGTAGTGGTTATGGTCAATCTAAGGATAGCATTCACTGCCATCACGGTGTTGCTTCAGCTGAGGTTAGTGTCGCAAAACTCTTTTAGCAACGGATACCGAAAATATATATTTGCGACGGTTTATGTGATTACGTGTTATTTGTAAATACAGATTGGACAACTTTCGACGCTTCCTCCAAAGAAAAGAACACATGAAGCGATCGAATTGTACAAGAGAAACAAGAAAGATATCCCGCATGAAGCATTTCACGGAGGTTTCCTCTTGGAAAAGATTGCAAACCCGATGTCGAAAGGGGAGCTCAAATTGATCAATACCAACGCGGACGACAACCCATCCGTCACGTTTAACTACTTTAGCCACGCCAAAGATTTAAGAGGGTGCGTTAACGGGATCCGAATGATGGAGAAACTAGTGAGGTCAAAACCCTTCCTCAACTTCACGCAATGTGACAACAAAACCGTCAACAAACTGCTCAACATGAGTGTCACCGCCAACGTTAATCTGATACCCAGACATACAAACGACACAGAGTCACTTGAGCAGTTTTGTAAAGATACAGTGATCACAATCTGGCACTATCATGGCGGGTGCCATGTGGGTCAGGTGGTGAACACTGCTTATCGAGTCATGGGTGTGCACAGGCTTCGAGTCATTGATGGGTCCACTTTTGACGAGTCCCCTGGCACAAATCCTCAAGCCACAGTTATGATGTTGGGCAGGTACCGTTCTATTTAATAATGCATTCAGTTTCTAGGATTTTTGGTACATATATACATGTAATTATTATACAATATGTACGAAAATACGTATATATATATGGAATGCAATGCAGGTACATGGGAGTGAAGATCTTACAAGAAAGGTCAAGAAAATCAAGCGGATTGCAACGATGAAGTAGAGCGACCTGTGGATGGTGATGGCGATTTTATGTATTTTTTGTCGAATTTTTTAGGTAGAAATTCTTAGCGAGCAACAGACGTCGAGCGTCAGTTTAACGGTATTTGAATTCATAGATTATCGGTTCAAATCTTCCGTTAACCAACTAAAAACGTAGAGAAGTTAAAGGCTTGCCCAACAAAGGAATGGAGAACTATATGTACTCTGAAATTCTCCCTTTTTTTGTTGCGTTCTAAGTGATTGTGGTGTTTGGATTTTGTAACCAAAATTTGTGGGGTTTTTTTATTAATTTGGTGTGAAAATACTAGCAATTATACTGATACGAAACCTGTCTATAAAGACACCAATATGAGGTGACATTTTTGGCTCACTTAACGATTGAGACTAGTGTAAGACATGAGATCGATCTCAGGATTTGTCTTGTATTTGGGTAAAATTATCTCACTTTTTTGCCAAATAAGCTACACGCTAGAGTCGGGTTTTATCCGACGTCAAAAGTGTTTGTGTCATAATAGACTATTTTATAAGACCGAATATTTGTGTATCTTATCTAAAAATGTTGTAATGAGTTTATAAGATGTTTTTTAGCGTCTTAACAAACTTGTTATATATTTGAAACAACTTGTCCTATTAATCATTTTATATGACACTTTTTCTAATATTGTTATATAAAGTAACTCATATGATCATTTGTTTCAAAAGTGTTTTTAAAAATATATTAAGAAATTAAAAAATCTTATAAACTCATCACAACACTTTTAAATTGACACACACATATATGTTTAGGATTGCTTTAGGTTGGGTTGGACGAGTTTCGGGTTGAGATGCGTTGATTCAGGTATAGTTTATACGATATATATATATATATAGGGGACTATTCAAGGGAGAACTGAGTTGTTTGTGGTAACTGTGAGAACCAATATTAACCACAAATCAATAGATAAATTAGGAAATTTATAAATTTGGTAATTTTAAATTAAAAATTTTAATGCAAGGATATTTTTGGTATTTTAAAATTCTCCTCTCTCCTCTCTTCTCTCTCCGGCCACCGTCCTCCGGTGATACCACTATGATACCACTGTGATACCTAAAAATATTGACTCTGTTAAACAAAAGATACATTGTGATACCTAATCATATATAAGATGCGTAGTGATACCACAGTGTTACATATTCGATCGACCATACAAACGACATCAATGTGATACCCAAGTACATATATGATGCATTGTGATACCATTGTAGTATCACCGGAGGACGGTGGCCGGAGAGAGAAGAGAGGAGGGAGGAAAGTTGTAAAATACCAAAAATATCCTTGCATTAAAATTTTAATTCAAAATTGTCAAAATTATAAATTTCCTAATTTATCTATTGATTTGTGGTTAATATTGATTCTCACAGTTACCACAAACTAATTAGTTCTCATTTGATTAGGCCCCTATATATATATATATATATATATATATATATATATATAGAGAGAGAGAGAGAGAGAGAGAGAGAGTGATCAAATGCAAATCACATTTATTTGTACAAACCATACAAACCACCATCATCCGTCAATTTTATTTTTAATCTTATAAATCATATGTGAGACAAACATGTTTTCATGAAACCCATGAGACCACTTTTATAAATTTGAAACTTCACAGCAAAACGCTGTGAAGGCAATCTTCACATTGTTTTTGCTGTGAAGATTCGACTTTTTTTACCTTCATAACATTTTGCTGTGAAATTTCAAAAGTAAAAAAATGGTCTCACGAAAACAGGTTGATCTTACGTGATCCCAAGTGTCTCTCTCTCTCTCTATACACACACACACACACATATATATATATATATATATATCTATATATCTATATATATATAGGCACGTTCAAATGAAAACCGTGCAATTCTTGGAAACCGTGTAAACTAATTTCGACCAATAAGAAAATTTCATTTTTTTCTAATTAAATTTAATCATTAAGGGTATATTGGTTATTTGCATTGTTTTCTATTAAATATGGAAGTTATTAATAAATATTAATTAAAGTAACATAATAAAGGAAATTTTATAAATAGTAATATTTAAATATTTAATTAAATTATAATATTAAAAACTGGATTTTATTATATTGTGTCTCGATTTATTACTGCCAAGATTCATGAAATCGTAAGTTATTAGATTAATAAATCTATGAAATCAATAATAGAATCAGAAAAAATTCATGAAACCGGTTTCATAATGGTGAAATTAGTGCATGGAGTAAGTGAAAATGATTATGAAATGAGTGCATGAGAAAATAGGTGCATGATGAAAAGGGTGCAACATGAAATGAGTGTAGCATGAAATAAGTGCATCATGAAATGGTTGCATGATGATATGGGTGCGTGAAGGAAGTGAAACCATTTCAAAAAAATAAATAAGAAAAACCTGTGTAATTAGCAAAAAGTGAAGCAATTTCATTATCAATAGCGTGAAATGACAAATGATTCATCAAACCATGTTGGCCGATGAAATGAGTGATTAAAGAAAATGAAACAATTTCATGGTTTCTAAGAAAATTTTGTGTAATTAGTGAACAATGAAACAATTTCATTATCAAAATGAAACAAACCCATCTACCAATAATATGAAAATGACAAAATCTAATCAGGATTACGTTGATTAGTGTATTAATAAAACTGTAAAACCATTTCGTTCATGTAATGTAATACATTTTTTTTTAATTTCCATTCAAAAGGATTCATTATATAGAATTGATTATGATGTGTTTTATTTATATTTTGAAATTATTTTAATGATATAACATGATATGGTTGTCATTAAGAAAACCACAACCAAAGTTACCATTTTGCCTTTACAGAGATTATAAAATAAATTTTTATTTATTTATTTATTTTAATTTCCTAATATAACATAAACTAATCTTGACCATTGATCAAAAAAATGGATGGATGAGATTGATTTACATAGTTTACACAAATGATGACGGTTTACATTTGATCGCTCCTCTCTATATATATATTCAATTGATTTTGATGATGAATTCAAACAATTGAAAGGAATGATAAAAACCGACAGCAAGTTTAGAAAATTAGAAAGAAAAAAATACAGTCGACTAGTATCTAGGATTTTCAAAACGTAATTTAAGGTTTTTGCAAGATTCGAGCGGTCAAAAATCAAACTCAATCCACACTCAAATATTGCAAAAGCAGGGTTTCCAATTTTTCTCGGATTTCGGGTTTTGCAAAAACAATTTGTTTTCGCTTCAGGTTTTGCACACCCTTAGATCTAATGGGTTATTTCCGTAAGTTGCTGTAAAGTTCAAGGGTTAAAATGAAAAATGTAGCATTTATTAAAGTCAACTCAACTAACCAAGGGCTCGGTAACCGTAAGATACTCTGCTACTTATATTGATTTTATTTAAATTAAATATATTAAACAAAAATATTTTGTTAATATAAAATAAATTTTTAATAGAAATTTATATAATCAACAAAATAAATACAAAGTTTCTGCAAGATGCCGGAAAGCAACTCCATGGCAGAAAAAATCTTCCCGGACACAAAACCAACTGCCGTCAAGGGCTCCGGCGCCACCGCAAACGCCACCACCACCACCGCCAACGTCAACACCACATTCTCAGCCAGCAAACCACAAATCTACAATGCCGCTCGTCCAGTCTACCGTTCCCGTCCCCACCGCAGCCGGCGGAGCTGCTACTGTTACTGTTGTCTCTGGATCATCTTCATTATCCTTCTGTCAACCATTCTCGCCGCCATCGCCGGCGGCATACTATTCCTCCTCTATCGCCCCCACCGCCCTTCCTTCTCCGTCTCCTCCCTCCAACTCTCTCGATTCAACCTCACCACCAGATTCAACCTCACCGTAACCGCTCGTAACCCTAACAAAAACATCGTATTTTATTTCGATTCCGTTTCGGTTTCCATTAATTCCAAGGGAGGCGTCATCGGCGACGGGACGATTCCGGCGTTTGTGACGGCGAAGAAGAGTTCGACGATATTGAAGACAGCTGTAAGAGCGCAGAGAGTGGATGATCTGAAGGAGAATAAAAGTTTAGCATTGAAGATCGAGCTTGATTCGAAGGTGAAGGTGAAGATCGGAAGCCATATGAGTAAAAAAGCAGCGATTAGAGTTGTTTGTGATGGAATTAAGGCGTTGGCAACTTCAAATGCAGAATGCACGGTTGATCTTCGGATCAAGATTTGGAAATGGACCATTTAGAGTTTAGAATCAGATAATGTTTTCGAATTAGTTGATTTGGTTCCTTCTTCTATTACGTTTGAAAAGCTTAAAAACACGATTTACTGTTGTTGAAGATGAACAAATGGCAGCTAGCTCATGTTCATGGGTTGGGTTAAGACATTTGCCCAATCCAATAACCCAACCTGAATCGATTGGATTGATATTTTGGTACACTAAAATATTATTTTAACCTTGAATATGTTATTTTTCTGTTCATAATTTCGTTTTCATCATCAACTATTTGATACAACTTATTTATACTTCTTTCGTATATTACATTCACTTAATTTTGTTCACAGTTACTGAAAATATATACGAATGAGTTACATGGAGATGTGAATAGATTGAAAATATGTGTATATGAGTTGAGTTTAAATAATAGTAACCCAATACCTATGCTTTAAAAAATTTACAACTCGATTAGACATATTAAGTTGCTTTGGGTTGAATTATTTCACGTTGGGTTAGGTTAGGTTAGGTTGATCAGGTTAGTCGGATTTTTGAACACCCTATTAACAACCATTTATTCATTTCTTTTCAAAAATGGGAAAAGACCCTATGAATTTAGATTAAGTTATTAAATACTTTTTTAAACAAATAAATCATTAGAATTTCTGCAACCGGTTGAATATATTTTGAAGTTGCAAAACATGGTCGAAGATTGAGGTGATGACAACGACGGTGACGTCATGTTATGGGGGCGATGTTGGTTGAAACGGGTTAGGGTTTTTGCTTATGGTTTAGAATTTGTTTACTTTTACATGCTATGCATGTTACAAGTCATCTCTTTCGAGATTTTTAGGTATATAACAGTAAGGGTTGGGTTTAAGCGAGAAATATAGTTAAAATAAGAAGCGTAACAAGATATTTTCATCATTGGATAGATGCATCGAGATGTACCAGATCAATAACCGTATCAAGCAGATTCATTGGTGAGTTTAAGATTAATAATGATCAAGGGCTCAGATAACTTCTTATGCTTCTCATTTTAACTCTCACTCTCACACGATATTTTGTCTAAATGAGACTTTATTATTTAACAAAAATTATGTTTTAAAAACTAAATCATTCAAAATATGCACTTTTTACCTCAAAGTTGGTATAATATTTTTATGAAGAAAAATAGCATCTTAGACCTTGTTTTTTTTAAAGAAGCTTTTGTTACTCGTTTATATCTTATTCGTTAAGAGGTAGAGATTTTTATATTGTTTGTCTTTTTTAAAATTTCAGTGATATTTATGTTTTATTGTCCTCTTATCTAGCAATGGGTAAACCAACTTTTTAATTGTCTTTTATGTTCTCCAGACACTTGAAAACGACGATTCTCAATTGATTATTCAGTTGATTATTTCTCTTAATCGATCCTCATCTCTCTCAAGTGATGTATTTAATACAATTTAAATATATTAAATGCCATATTTGACCCGAATAGACCCGATTTGAATGTATTGATCCTTTCGATTTCAAACCATCGCCTTAAACCCTAATTTCCAAAACCCCTGTGCCTGGCTGATTCACAGTGATTGTTCTCCCCCTTTTCTGTCAATTGAGTTTAATCTCTACCACTGTTTTTGCGATCTCCGACCACCATGTATCGGGCCGCTGCAGCTTTCACTTCCTCGATCAGGTTTTCTATTTTCGTTCTTGATTTGTTGATAATTTCGTAGGTTATTGGATATTCAGGAAATGCTGATTCAATATGTGATTAATTGTTTATAGGTCTTCTACATCAAGAAAACTGGTGAGAATCCCCTTCAGTCCTTTTTCCATTTGCTAGGTATTATTGGTAGGGCAAATCTATGGTGAAGATGGTTGATGTAGCTTTACTCTTTTGGTTATTCTACTATAGGGTTTGATCAATATTCCATTTTCCTGAATCGATTGATCTTGATTCTGTTGCATTAATCGATTGATCACATTGTTGTTCTTCGTGGAGCTACTTTTTTTCACATTCTGTTGCATTAATCGTTTGATCAAAACCTTTTCTTGTTAAATATGCAATGAAATCGATGATCGAAACTTATCTGGAAGTATTATGTCTGACCTTAAACTCACTCGGTCCCGGAATAAATGTCCACAATGGAAAAAGGTGTTAGAAAGTGTAATTATCACACTTTTCTAATTAACTGAATGATATTTTTATCGTTGATAATAGAGGGAGTAATGAATTTCATGTCATAATTAAGGTAGAAATGGAAACTACGCAATTACTTCCGAAAGTGACACTTATTTTGGGACAAACAAAAATAGAAATATGAGCACTTATCTTGGGACGTAGGGAGTAATCAGAGTGAGTAATTTTTCTGATCTATTTATTATTCTTTTATTGATTGGATACGTTGTTGGAAGGTATCTGGTAGAATTATTGGTAGTAGAAACTATGTTGCGAAGGATATCCAGTTTGGGACCAGGGCTCGGGCTGCCATGTTGCTTGGTGTGAACCAGCTTGCTGAAGCTGTAAAGGTTACCATGGGACCGAAGGTAATTTTCTTCAGCCCTCATTTCTTTTGCAATAGTCTAAATTGTTTTTGGTTCGGCAAAAAAATGGTCTGTATGTTTTGAGCAAATTAATGTTTTTGTTATCAAAACCGATCTTATTCATTTCAATTTGCAATCAGGGACGTAATGTGATTATTGACCAAAGTCGTGGGCCCCCTAAAGTCACAAAGGATGGTGTCACGGTGGCCAAAAGTATAAACTTTGAGGAGAAGGCTAAAAACGTTGGTGCTAATTTGGTGAAGCAGGTTGCAAGTGCAACTAATTCTGTGGCTGGAGATGGTAATTTGCTCACCCATAATTACTTTCTGTCATAATGTTCACTAATGTCATAATCTTGACTAATTCAACAATGATATCCTATTAAAGAGGATTACAATATAATGTCCTACAGCCGAGCACATTATTTTTCTTCCATTAGAAATACAATGTTTTACTCTTGACAAAGTTCAATAGAAGTGTTTGACTATCTTTCAAATGTCTAAAATACCCTTCAATTATGACAAAGTAGAGAAGGTTTTGGACCAAAACCAATGACACTAATAATTTGTAATGATGAAAAGTGAGTAATAATTTATAAGCCTGAACTTTCATAAAAAAGTAAACTTTGTAACTAATGTGGGAAATCCCAGTTGGCAAAAGAAAACAAATGTGTATTTTAAATAACCATGGGTGTCAGGGTCAGCTTGCGCGCACCTTGACTTATCCCATGAGGTCCTGAAGCTAACAGCCGGACAAATGTTTCCCTGTTTGACTTGAGCCGGTTAAAACTTAAAACATATTTGTGTCTATCATTTGTATGCAAAGGAACATTGCCACATTTTTAAGTAGGTTTCTACTGGGAATTAATTTAGAATTAGCTATAACATATATTAATCTTGTTGGGTTCCTAAGATCTCATTCATATAATATATGATGTCATTACAGGTACAACTTGTGCCACCGTTCTGACTCAAGCAATATTCACCGAAGGTTGCAAGTCTGTAGCTGCAGGTGTAAATGTGATGGATTTGCGCAAGGGTATCAGTATGGCTGTTGATGCCATTATAGACGACCTGAAAAGACAAGCACTAATGATTAGTACACCAGAAGAAATTACGCAGGTTCTATACTTTCCTTCCTTCTGGTTAAAAGTTGTTATTCATTCTTCAAATGCTTTTTATATACTGCATATTTTATATTTGAATTTTCTGCACACGTGTGTGAATTAGGTAGCCACTATCTCTGCAAATGGAGAGCGCGAGATTGGTGAATTGATAGCAAGAGCTATGGAGAAAGTCGGAAAAGATGGAGTAATTACAGTGGCTGTAAGAATTTATTCAAGCTTAGCACCTGATTAATCATTATTCATCATGATTTGTTTTTTTAAATTCAGTCAATCTAATAATCCTGCAGGATGGTAACACCTTGGATAACGAACTAGAAGTTGTAGAGGGGATGAAGCTAGGCCGGGGTTATATCTCTCCTTATTTTATTACCGACACAAAGACTCAAAAATGTGTATGCATAAGCTCTGCCAGTTTCAATTGCTTAGTTTAATTTTATGAGATTGGAGCTTTTTATTTTTATGATATATTTGTATATATACTGACGAAGAATGTATTTTATCAAAACTTATGATTTGTTTCAAAATCACCTTTTTCTAATTTAGAAAAAGGGTGTCTGAAAAAGCAGTTGTTCAAATAGGTATCGGCATTACTTGGTATTCATCAATCTTTTGTGCCGTTTTTGTTGATTGCGAAGTTCATCCATTCTTTTTACTACCTCCACCCAAAATAAATGTTCATAATGAAAAGGACCACAATTTTAGAAATATGTAATTATTACACTTTTTTAATTAACCAAATGACAATTTTACCCTTAACAATAGAGGGAGCAATGAATTTCTCCATCTCATAGTTAAGGGTAAAATTGGAAAGTGGGAACTTTGGAAAGTGGACCTTTATTTTGGGACAAACTAAAATAGAAACGTGGACACTTGTTTTAAAACAATTCAAACTTTTTGCTGCTAGTCACAGTTTCTCATATTATGTGAATCTGTTCTTTTGCGTGTAGGCAGGATTTGGAGCATCCGTTAATCTTTATTCATGACAAGAAAATTTCAGACATGAACTCACTTGTGAGAATCTTGGAGCTTGCTGTAGAGGTAATCGAGTTAAAGGGATTTTCTTCCATGTGGGACAGTGAAACGTAGGATTAAGCTCTCGTTTTCGGACATTTGTTAACTTTTAAATCTTTAATTGAATTATTAAACAGAAACATAGACCTCTGCTAATTGTGGCTGAAGATGTGGAAAGTGATCCGTTGGCAATGCTGATCATTAACAAGCATCAAGCTGGAGTTAAGGTAAGCACCCAAATTTGCTTCAGAACCATTTATTTAATGCTATTATTACTTTTCTTGTGATGGTGAATTCAAGAGAAACAAGTGTATAATTTCTACTCGTAGGTGTGTGCCATTAAAGCTCCTGGCTTTGGGGATAACAGGAGAGCCAATCTTGAAGATTTAGCGGTGCTTACTGGAGGGGAGGTGAGAGAAATATCTACTTCCTTAGAGCATCCATAACTCGACAATTTCAAATCCTGGTCCGACCGCGATTCCATATTTTGACTGTTGTAAGAGCATAGCTCATAAGGGTAATATGCAGGTTGTCAGCGAGGAACGTGGATTGAGCCTTAATGATGTTCAACTGGACAAACTTGGTACAGCGAAAAAGGTTTGTGCTTATTTTATTTTAAAGTTAATCTGAAACCTTCAACACTGAATCTATATGGGATTTCATTTAAAGTTAATGTCTACTAGGTTATTGTTTCTCTCGATGATACCATCATTCTACATGGTGGTGGCGATAAGAGGCAAATTGAAGAAAGATGTGAGCAACTAAGGTCAACCATTGAGAACAGCACGGCCGTGTTTGACAAAGAGAAAGCACAAGAGAGGTTGTCAAAGTTATCAGGAGGGGTCGCAGTTTTCAAGGTACATTTTTCTATTTATATGTTAATGTTTTCTCTTAACCAACTTTTCCGAACTTTATCATATCCGCCTTTCCATCGGGGGCGGACCCAATATGGTGCTTGCGATGGCACGATCCACCGCTTTGTTCCTCTGTGGTACTGTATACCTAGAAATTACAATAATAACACAAGTTTCTCTTGGTAGAGTTGGTTTACAAGGTCTTTACTTTCTTTCCAAGGCATGGGTTCGAATCGCATTTGTATCATTTCTTGTTTTTTAGCTTTTAGTTTTAGGTTTATTATTCTTCTGATAAAATTTGAGATACAAGACCTCACATACAAAAAGCAAGGAACTAACCAACAGACCACTAATGATTGTGTAAAAAATATCGTAGCTTCGTTTTTTACAGTGAAATGGTGCCACCACTTGAAAAAAAATTATGTCCACCTTTGTCTTCGTCACACTTTTACAAGGCGGGAGTCTTCACGTTAACCGGAGTTCTACTCTTTGGGGTAGAGGTTAAGTCAACTTACTTACATCTTACCTTCCCCAGACCCCACCTCCATGTGGGATATACTGGGTTCGTATGGTTTGTTTTTTTCTTGCATCTGAAATTTTTAAGAATTTCTTTATTCTCATTGCACTTGTTTATTTATTTAAGGTCGGAGGGGCTAGCGAGGTGGAAGTTGGAGAAAGAAAAGATAGGGTTACCGATGCTCTTAATGCTACAAGGGCAGCTGTGGAAGAGGGAATAGTTCCAGGTAAGGCTTCTACGAGCAACTGTTACTTCATGTGGAATTTGATTATGTTTGGCAAACTAACCTAATAAGCTAGCCGGTAGCAGATAAACTAGTCATGTTTGGTAAAAACCAACTTCTAAGGCAAATGATAACTCAAAATGACCTAAAAGTACATATTGAAAGTTAATTGGAAAAATGTAAAGAGCATAATTGGAAAAATATAAGGAGCATAATTGGAATAATATTAGGGACATAATTGGAAAAATCCCCTTGAAGTTTATTGAAATGCTACTTGAAATAACTTGTAAAACTAGCTTATAATCAACTTATGGTCAAACAAGTTGGGGGTTTTTCAACCTTGAGGACCAGCTCAACTTGCAAAGAAAGACTAGCTCTGGGCCTCCTCATGGTCGCCAATTCGAGTCCTCTTAGGGCCACCAGGGATTTTTGTTGTTGCTATCTTCAAGGCCCTATTGAATTAGTCGAGGTTACAAAAATGGTACTTTTTCAATAAGCTCAAAAAGCAAGCTAGCTTATAGTTGCCAAACATGTTCTATAAAGCAATTCTTGAAATGTCATTCATCCAAGATTTCAGTCACCATATAATTTCATATATAGGTGGTGGGGTCGCCCTTCTATATGCTACCAAGGTTCTTAAAGGCCTTAAAACTGCAAACGAGGACCAGAAGAGAGGAGTTGAAATAGTCGAAAATGCCCTTAAGGTTCTCTCTCTGGACTTCCTGTTGATCCTTTCCTTACCGTTAAGCACTAAAACCACTTTTCTTGATATATTATTCATCTTCTTTTAGGCACCGATATCCACAATAGTCTCAAATGCCGGTGGTGATGGTGCCATGGTTCTTGGCAAGTTATTGGAACAGAATGATCTTCATTTTGGATTTGATGCCGCCCAAGGTCGGTAAAACATATGCTTTTATTCACGAATCGGGTTGTTTATCAAGCGTTTCATGCTCTTTTACTTAACAAACTCGAGTCAGACCTTGTGGGTCAACTCAACTAGCAAATAAAGGCTAGGCCTTGGGGCTCCTCTGCATAGGTCGCCAGTTCGAGCCTCCTCAAGGCTATGAGGATTTCCTGGTCGTTACCTTCAGGGCCATTGGGGATTTTTCTGACTGTTACCCAAAAAAAACCAAATTGTGTCGATAAATAGAGAAATTGTTGTAACTTGTAGAGGCGGTTATTGTGTTTAACCAGGCAAATATGTAGACATGGTGAAGGCCGGAATCATTGATCCTTTAAAAGTTGTGAGAACAGCCTTAGTAGATGCTGCCAGGTAACTATTCTAAATATGCTCTATGTTTCATGAAGAGTCAGGTTTAGGGAAAACCCCAAAATGAAAAATTAAGGAACACTCTGTTAACCATTCATTTGGACGGTATACACATGTGCATACAAGTAGTTGAAGATGTTTCTTGGTTTTTATGCCACATGTGCATACTGGACAAATTGCTTACAAAATACTTGTATGCACATGTGCATACGGTTCAGATGAAAGTTTACCACGGTGTTTCCCAGTTTTTCATTTTTTTTGCAAAATGCAGCAAAATATAATGAAGTTTGTTTTAGTTCCTTTTAGTTTAACGGATAATTTTTTTTTCTCAATCCGTGTAATGAAAGTTGAAAGTTTCCTATTTTATATCCATTTTGACTGGTGACCAACTGATATTGTAATATTCGATGACATGGATGCCAAGTTATCTTGATTTAAAAAATATAACGGTGTATCAGTAGGTTATTGGTCAAAAATATATTAATGGACAATTTGACATTCACATCATCAAATATTACAAGATCAGTAGGTTGTCTGTCAAAATGGGGATAAAGTAGGAAATTCTGACACTTGGTTGATTAAATGACTTATTTGTCCACGGTTGAAAGGATAGACGGTTTCACTAATGGTCAAATATTGCGATTATGTTACTTGTCGTTTTGATTTGTTAACGAACGGGTGCAGTGTGTCGTTGTTGTTAACCACCACGGAGACGACCATTGTAGATCGTCAAGGAGAGAAGAACCCACTCGCAAACCGGATGCCGAACATGGATGATATGGGAATGGGATTCTAATTCTAAACATGTAGAGAGGAAAATTATGCTTGCAATGCATTAATGATTAAATGTACCAAATTTTGATGTTTCTATTTAATTTTCATCATTTTTCTCTTGAAGAATTTGGGTTTATTGACAACTTTGATATTCACGTCAGCAAATATTACCTGTTAGTATTGAATTATAGTACTTTACTAGTTTATATATTTAACATATATTTTTTTTTAATATACAGTTTAAATATAACCATCTTTAATGTATATTAATTAGCTTAAGTTAATTAATTATATTTATATATTTAACTATGATGATTTTTATGTACATTCATATTCACTTAAATTTACGACTTTTAAAATTATTAAATTTTCATTGATTAAAATAGAACAAATTGCATGAAAAAGTAACGTACTTTAACTCCATTTTTATTTTAGGTAACGTATTTTCAAAACTTATATTTTGATACTTAAGATGTAAATTTTTAAACATTTAAATACTCGGGTAACCGTTTGAAGCATTAACCGGTTATCATACTGATGTGGCGAGTGATGCAGTATCTTGTTAATGCTTCAATATATAATACTGAGTTGGATACCACATCGCTCGTCACATCAGCATAGTAACCGGTTAATTCTTCGACTGGTTATCCGGGTACTTAAATGTTTAACATAGAAGTTTTGGAAGTATGTTACTTAAAATAAGAATCAAGTTAAAGTACATTGTTTTTTCATATAATTTGCACTAAATTTAAAGTTAATACGTATTGATGTGCTTTAACGTGGGATTTTTTTGAAGTATTTTAGCATATTTATTTTAACGTTTTTGCACATATGTTGGGGAAGACTTGATACATACATGTCGGGTATATCCATTTATGTTAGCCGTTGGATAAATTATTATATTTGCGCCAAAAAATCGGGGGATTTCAATTGGTCTCCTGTTTAATTGATGACGAATACCTTCAAATCTTTGCTTTTGACAACAGAATCAACTATCTTTTTCATGTTTCTACTTCGAATTCATGAAATATCCAACGTTTAGGGTTTAATTTATTTGGTATTTGATGCTCAAAGAGGTTGCCCACCAACTGTTTGACAAAATGTTTCAAGGGGTTTCAGATTTCACTTCTTGTGACGGTGCTTTTGAGATGTTGAAAAGGATGGAAACGAGCCTAAATGTGGAAGATTGGAGCTTTGGAGGATCAGCTTGACCAAGGTATGCTTGTATTAATCTAAGTGATCGGTTACTAAACACTTACCTTTTAAACGGGTACCACAAAATTATTGGGTAATATTTTTTTGAAGGGTGTCTCAGGCTATGGTTGGACTAATGACGGCAAATTATGACTGCCCTGATAAACTCAGTGGCTACAATTGTTGTGTATGCATGTAATCGTAACCCTGAGCGGATGGGATATTCTACCACATCCCGGGACCTCAACCACTACACCACACAACCATTATGGTTTTATCAAGTAACATTTTTTACGATTAAAATGGATTGTCGGTAATCGTTTTTTACCCGGTAAACACTTACCAGGCTGCCTTTTTTTCTCACTCACCAGATAATATCTTGATCGTTACTATACCTGTATGAAAAACAAATAGAAAGGGCATATTTGTAAAATACCCTTATAAGGAGAGAAGGATGAAAAACAAATATAAAGGATATATTTGTAATATAACATCTTTTCTTTCGTTTTTCTCTGGTTTAAGAACATAAAAATTGATTCATTTCCATTGTTTCCTTTCCTTTATTTTTCAAGAACACAAATAAAACACTTTCCTTTCTTTTCCCCCAAATTTGAGAATTTAGTGTTAGGGGTCGTTTTTAAAAACGCTTACCGACAAGAGCTACCACATATACTTGCTTTATCGGATAACATTGTTGGTAAACATCTTTTATCTAGTAAGCGTTTACCAGTTAAGAGTTCTCCCTCATTTATTGGGTAAGATTCTCTGACATGTGAACTCATTCTGTAATATAAATGACATCAGATAATCGTTTAGTAAACAAGGTCTTAGTCTGTTAATTTGACAAAATAAATTGTATCTGAAATTGAATTTAAACCTTAAAGACCAAGATTACAAAGGGAAAAGAGGCAAGAAAAATACCTCAACTTGCAATAAACTTGAAAGAAAACAACCTATAAACCAAAACCAAATCCAAAATCTTCATCTACCCTCCGAAATCCATCTCTCCGATGAATTCTTCTCATTTTTCTTATTAACAAAAACTTCAAACCCGACTCTTTTAACGGGTTATCACTTATCAGAATCGTCTTTCTTGCTGATATGTTATTTCTTTTGCTTTGCTTTCAATACCCTTTTAGCGGTTCGTTCCATTCGCAAATCCGCTTCTTTTTTTTCCCTCAAGATATTCACATGTGAATATGGGAAGAAAGTAGAGAAGAAAAAGATGTAGACCAACTTCCCCAATCTCTATAGATTGAATATAGATATGCAAGAATCTGTATCTATAGATTCTAATGACAAGAAGCAAGAACTTGGTTCTCAAAAAACAGAATTTAGAACTTCTTTGATTGTTGGTTAGTAGCTGCTACAGTTTGTGAGGGTAAACAAAGTGGCAGCACCTTTGAGATCATGATCTTCATTGGTTTGTTGGTAGGTTACTGTTTCTTCTTTTGTGAAGAATGAAACATTCTCCTCTTTAGGCAAAGCTTTGTGATTTCCTTCACTAAATAGAGTCTCTTCACTGAAAATGGCAAGTCAAACATAATATTATATTCTATACAAATTCAACCATAATTACTACACAAAATTTTATACCATGTACCAACCAACTATACTTGATATGCAAAATTTTATACCATGTACCAACCAACTATACTTGGTACCAACTTTTTTCGGTTGGTTACCATTGCAAAAGTTGAAGATGAAAACTCATTTACATTTGACATATTTATCAACTAGATCTAGATGCATTCAAACTATTGAGCAGTGATATAGACCGTGAAGGTGTGGATGAATTACTAAGGTTGTTGAATTCAATCAAATTCTATATATTCATAAAAATTATAAGATAATTTAAAATCAAAATATATTGTATTATTTATTAAACTTTAAGTAATATATCATAAAGAATAAGTCGCTACGGTATGGTATTACCGTGGTACACGGCTGACGTAATAACCAAGTTTAGATGGTTGGTACGGTACTACCAACCAATTAGATTGGTACCAACTAAAATGGTACGGATAGTTCGAGAATCGGTTGGTTTGTACTGGTACAAAATTGACAACCCTACATATAATAAATCAATCAAATTTGTTTTAAGATGATGAATCACGTAGGTTAGGTGATGTTTTTTATGTTAGAATACGTGGAACCCTAGATTAATCTCCAAAAGTGTCTTTCTGGAGAGAAGGGAGGATCTGACATAAATAGAGGATATTGGTCCAAGTATAGCTGATGTAAGACTCTTACACGCTCCGTCCAATGAAGGCTAGACAGACACATACTTTCTCAAAGTATTAAGAAGGGGTTATACCGGTAAGGGAAGAAGGCTAGACAAGTACAAATGGTCCTAAAGTGTCAAATTTCTATAATGGTAGATGTTGGCTCTGATACCATATTAACATTTGAGAATACATGGTCAAGCATATCATTTAGGATGTGTTTGTCTGAGTGGTGGGCTGGATAAAGTGACTTTACGCGAATTCTAGAAGGTTGTAAAGGGAGTTATGCATTTTTGTCCCTCAATAATGATGAAATAGAATATGAAGTAATTAGAACTATGAATGTCATGATTTATTAGTACTTGTGATAAACGTTATGGACGAGATTTCAGACCTGGGTTCGTTTATTTCATCGAATTCAAACTTGAATTCGTGTCGTTCTCCGGCTGGAATGTCGCTAATCAGGAGCGGTTTGAAATCCTCGCATTCATCTACGGAAGCGTGCAACGGCGGCGGCTTCACCTCCAGGCACACGGCGGAAGACGGTGGCGAGTTATTCATGGCCGCCCACGAGTTTATTTCTTGAAGCGGAACCACGTGATCGTCTTCGCAACCATCATCGTGATCGTTCAAATTCTGTTGTCCGAGAATATACTGCTCGTGATCGTGATCATGACCGTGCACGAGATGATCTTCGTGTTCTTGTTGCTGCGGTATGTGACCGAGATCGAGATCCAGACCCGCATGATGCTGATGATTGGCGTTATCGGTATCTAAAACCGTCGAAGGATCATCGTACAAATGCGGGTCGTCGGGATTGCTAACGAGATGAATATCGCAATCAACACCATCGATCAAGATCTGATCGTGATGGTGGTGGGTCTGGTTCTGGTTCTGGTTCTGCGCCGCGTGAGCTCGACAAATTGCGAGCTGATGCAAGACGATCTCGAGCTCGGCGCATGAGAATTCAATCTGACGCTGGAGCTCCCGGATGATCCGGTAGCATCCACCCACCGGATCCTGAGCCCGAACATCAGACTGGTAAATAATCGTCCGCATCGCCTCGTCCTTCTGTTGCGGGTCGAGATCACGAATGATCTTCGTAATGCTGCTCACGCCGAACAACTTGTGCGCGTTTTGAAACTGGCGTTGGCGATCGTGCGGAAAGTACGGCGCCAAAATGCAGTCGGGCGCGCACTTGCGGCGTTGGTAGCGGCACGCGGCGCACGCTTGGGTGGTGGAGTTGGAACGGGTGGCGGTGGTGATGGTGGAGGAGGGGGAACGGGTGGTGGTGGTGATGGTGGAAGAGTTGGAACGATTGGTGGTGGTGGATGACGACGGAAGGAGGTGGTGGTGGTGGCTGTGGTGGTGGGGGTGGATGATTTTATTTTGATTATGGTGGTTATTGGTCATAATTAATGTGGTGATTAATTTAAGAAAAAAGAGGTGGGGGCAGCGGGTGCGGCTCCGGAGGAATTGGAAGGTTCCGTACAGAGGATGTCGTATTTCTGGTGCGAAGAAAATGACGGCAGCAAATGGGGGTGGCGTGGGGGGTTATTTCTGAGGAGAAGAGGTGGGGCGGGGTGGCGGTTTTATCGCGACACGTGGATAAGACGGTTGGGTAACACGTGCGTTTGATTTTAAGTTTGATTCTGGTTTTTGTTTTATGGTATACGTGTGTGGCTGGAAATGTTGGTGGGATTAGCACGCGCAAATGACGGTAACTTCTTTTACTATTTCTCTTTTTATTTTTCAAATTCTTTTACGATTTAATAATATGTTTTTAGATATGATTATTATTTAGACAAATGGAATACACAACCGTGGATACAAACACAATGTACATGTATGTATGTATGTATGTTAATAATGATGTCATATGAAATAAGTAATCCCCCCTCTCTCTCTCTCTCATTTTTTTTTTTTTGAGATTACGTGAGATTAATCTGTTTTCGTAAGACATTTTTTTATATTTGAAACTTCACAGCAAAATGTTATGAAGGTAATCTTCAAAGTGTTTTTGCTGTGAAGATTCGACTCTTCTTTACCTTCATAGCATTTTGCTGTGAAGTTTCAAGTGTAAAAAAACGGTCTTACGTGTCTTACGAAAACAAGTTGGTCTCACGTGATCTCAAGTCTATATATGTATATGAAGATAGTTATCAAGAAATTGGTAAGAGTCGCCATCTTTAGTTATTTTGTCGGGTAATATTCACGGCGAAATGGATTTGTTTGTAAGTGTATCTTACCCTGTAAATGTTAACGGGACAAGAGGTTTCTCTCACTTACTGAGTAAGAACCTTGGTTATTGTCATGCCTCTTACTTCACCAAATAAGATGAGTAATCTGGTAAATGCTTACACTCTAAGCATAGAGTAAACGCCTCTTATAATTAGGTGATTGGTTAGGAAGCTCTAGCTAAGACAACGGTATGATTGAGGTTGGATTGAAGAGCGACCAGTTAACCAACTTGTCCAATGTGACCCAAAAAAAAAAAAAAAAACTGGCTTTTTGTTCCAAAGTAAATGTACATTTTTTTTATTTTAGCTTGTTACAAAATAAGTGTCTACTTTTAAGAGTGTTTATTTTGCATAAATAATAGATCTAAACACATTAGATGCATATGCAGTATGATAACATGTTACACTTGTAAATAAACACGCAAAAATACTTGTATACAAGATCTACAAACCAGACTGATATAAGATTCTGAGAAAATGGAGAGATCTTTTAGCCTTTTTAGTTATGAAGGTAGTCAGATTGACAGTTTTGGCATGTTGCGATCAAAGGGTCATTAGATTAACAGTATCCTATATGAATTTAATTTTACTAAAATTAAAATTAAATTCATATAAGATTAAGATAGTAAAATTAAATTCATATAATTTGGGTTGTTGTTTGATCTAAAATCGAGGTAAAGAACATCATATTTATTTAACTTTTAGAGTATATTAAAAGTTAAAATTAAAAAAGATATTCATTCAATTTCAACAGCTATTCTATTTTTAATAATGCTATCATTTAGATGACATTTGTTTTTTAAGAGGTGCTAAAATCTGAAATCTTATTTCATTTTTGATTTATAAGAGGTGGTGCTGACGTCTGAAATTTGAATCAATTAGACTGTTTGTTTTTGTAAACTGATAAATGTCTGAATTTGTTTAAATTGTCTATTTTATCTATTAAAAAATTATATTATTGAATATATAAATAAATTTTATACAATTTCACATATTTATTCATCATCATTGCAAAATTTACATCTAAATTTTAATTAGTATTCATTTAAACAAAGATATGTCATTAACGTATTTAACACATTTAAATCCTATCAAAATATATCAATTGAGAGACGTGAGGATTGATTTGATAATGATTGATTGAAAGAAATGATCGATTAATGTTAATCAATTGAAAAACGTTGTCGTTGATTGTTTGAAGAACAATAAAAGGCAAATAATAGTTTAGTTTACCTCTTATCAGATAAGAGGACAATAAGATATAACTGTCTCTGAAAAATTGAAAAAAATAAGCAGTCTGAATGGTTTTACCTCTTAATGAATCAGACATGAGAGGCTAATAAGAGCTTTTAATAAAAAACAAATAAGACCTTAGTATATTGTTAAAATATTCAATATATTTAATAAAATATTAATTCTCTCGTTTTAGTAGCTTCGTTTAATGCATAAATACAGTTCCATAACGACATTTTATTGGTAACTAAAGACAACAGAACGTCATTTTATAGGTATTTTGATTCACGAGGGACTAAATTGGTTTTCCATATGTTTGAGAATGCGTATGTGTATCATGAATTTAATGTCAATTTTCATTTGCACTCCATTAATATTGGTTTGGGGCTCAAAAGAAGATGATATTCTTGGAATTTCATCAAACTCTATCATAAACAGAGTATCTCCCTTTCAATGACTTGGGGCAGGAGACGATTTTCTGAGTTTGCCTTGTTGGCATGCTCAGTGGTCATAGCGCCTTTGATTGAAATTCCATTTGCACCCGTCTCCTTCGGGGATCCATTAAAGGGATTGGAGTGGAATTTCCATTCCACCTATCCGCACCCTATCTCGCTGAAATTTAGATATGTGAGCCCGGAAACACATTTTCAAATACGCCTGTCAGCGCAGCTCTTTTTGGAACGGTACGAGCAGACCACTTAAGCAGATACCTAGACTTCCATTGTGAACCACCAAGCAAGGTAGTTGTGTGGGCGGAATATAGTATCCTTCATTGGAATCAGAACAAACTGAAGGAACGAGACAACACCGGATCAGCTATATATATATATATACATAATGCGTTCTTCATTAATGAATAGCCTCATATTCGTCATGCACTCATGTTGCCCCATTTTGCTTATTTCCATGTGAAGCAAGAATAGTCGGCTAATTCATTTTAATTCTTAATTATGTTGTTGCATTAAATATTTTTGTTGTTTTTTTTCATGTAAATATGTCTATGATTTGATATTAAGTTATACAGACGGTTAAGAATAATTTATTCCATTAGAACACCTATCAAACAATCATTTTTATGATAACATTGAAAAAGTCCTCGTTATTTTGTCAATCTGTTTCATCCAATCAACCAAACACGTTTATATCATTAACAGATTAGTTATAACATTATTTTATAATACCTTTTAAAACAAAAGAGGTAAATTGTAGTCGTTAAACTACGATTTTCGTCCTTTTTGCGATAAAAATTGCTAATCTCCGGCACTATGATTTCCATTTTATTTTCCTTTTCTTTCTTAAAACTAAAGATGTTACTAAAGGGCTGTTAAAACAACCCCCCCCTCCCCCACGAGCTGCACGTCAGGGGGTAAATGTGTCTTTTCAGTTCAACCATTTCTATATTTTAGTACTTTCTTTTAATTATTATTTTCTATATTTTGGGTTTTCATGTGATCTGTCAGTTTCTAACATCGTGATTAAAGATTCATCCATAGATCGTCTCTCTTTCACAATTGACCACGTGGGGTTTTTTTAAAAAATGGGTCATAAGGTGTTTGAATCAAACGGAGAGGGATAATGATGGAATGTAGAGGATCAAGGAAAACTTAAAAGTGAGGACCACTTATGGGTTAAGGACCTCTCTATTTGCCGAACCTTGTCGGACTCCGTAATCGCATTCACATCCCCTCTCTCTCTCTCTCTCTCTCTCTCGTGAATCTGTGATTTGAGACAAACCAGACCCATCTCACATCTTAAATGAACCAGAAAGTTAACCATCTTCATATTTGAAAGTTGAAACGAACCAGAAACTAAATCCTTCTCTTCTTGATGTTGTTGATGGTTGATTTGGATTTAAATTTAAATTTAAATTTCTTGGGTTCAGATTTAAGGTTTGTTAAATTTATATTTAGTATTTATTTTGAAGAAAATGAAGTTGAGGATAGAGGGAGGTTTTCAAATTAACAGAAGTAAAAATCAAAAAGACACATTTACCCCTTGCATGAGTGGTTTTAATAGAACTTTATTAACATCGTAAGCTTCAGGAACAAAAGGAGGAATAGAATGAAAAGCAGTAGGATGAAAAATGTAATTTTTCTAAATCACAGGGATAAAAATAGCAACTTTTGAAAACCACGAAGACTCGTAGTTTGCTTAGAATTAGGGTATGTTTATTTGCTGAATTTGGTGTAGAATGATTAAGAAAGATAAAAAAATTGCTAATTGTTCAGAATAAAATTAGAGCTTTAAATGATTAAGGGACACCCAAGATACAAAATTATTCAAAAGGTTTTCAAACCATTAAGAGATAGACTTTTTTTTTTTCCAAACAAGATTCACCTATTAATTATTCAGAGGTTTATTATTAATGAAACTATTAAGAGGTAAACAGAGAACCCGTTGATCAATTAATCAAGATTAATTTAGGATTTAGGTCATTGTGCTTTGTTAAAAATTGGCAATTTTTGTTCGTATGATTTAGAAATTGCGGTTTTCATGCCTATGGTTTATAATTCATTGTTATTTTTATGTTTATGATTTACAATCTATTTTTGTTTCGGTTCTTATGATTTACAATTTTTTATAGTTTCAATCCATCCTACTTAAAGATAGAAATTAGTCCAAGGATGAAAATAAGAATAATTTGTAAACCATAGATGAAAATGGCAATTTCTAAATAATAGGGACTAAAATCGAATCATTAAGAAAGAACAGGGACTAAAACTGTAATTTACTCTAGAATCAACATTTCTGAGGCATTTCCCTAAATTTGCCAATCGCTCCACTGCTACCAAACGCAGCAAACCGGAAGTAGTTACCGCTTATACATTTTCTTGGAGAAATTTTTGGGTTAGTTTCTTCTCCCTTATAATCTCAATTTTGTATCTGGTCAACGCAATTTCAACGTTATTCGAATCGTTTGGAGGGTTTTTTTAGGTTTGATTTGATTGCTGTTTTGTTCTTCTACGAATTGTGCGTCTATTCAATGTCCTATTGTAATTTTGGATGTGTTCTATGTATTTTATGCTAATTGATTTGATTGTTCGTTTATTTGGATGAAGAAGATAGAATTGTTTGCAGTTCGTATTAGTTTTAGGGTTCGAATATTTGATTCCTTTTTGGTTCATGAATCATGAGTAATTGTATGAATATGATCGAGATTGATATTTTTGGTGAATTTTCCATTGATTGTTGATTTACGATGCTCTTTTCTGTTACCATTGAAGCCAAGGTGTTGGTATGCATACATACAGCCTCAAAGTGAATATCCTGATTATAGATATAACCTATGTTATGATGTCCTTTTGTGTGTTTGCTTCTTGGTGTGTTTCATTTCGTGTTCGTAGTTGGTCTAGAAATACATAGAAACTAAATCAAACCAAATATGAGTAAATCCAATGCAGAGGTAGGGGTAGGGTCTAGGGAGGGGTAAGATGTATGTAGACCTCAACTCCAAGAGGTAGACAGAATGTTTACGTGGAGAGCCCCAGCTTGCAGAACAACTAGATAAAAACGAGTGAGTTCGATGTAGGTGAGAGTGTGTGCACAAGCAAACTGCAAAACAGAGCAGAGGCAAGGGAAATAGGTTACACACACAAAGCACAACATTGACAATTACAATTACAATTACAATTACTATTACTATTACCAATAATGTACAAAATTTGAATGTTGCATGCATTGTAACCATCGAATTGTTGCAACAAAGGATCTAGGAAAACACCAAAAGTATGTAGGTTACCCAGTCTAGTACTACTCTCATCCAATCATGCTTAACTGCATGGTTCTGATAGGATACAGTGCATTGAGCTAACCAAAGGGCCTTTGGCCTTCCCGGAGGTCTGGGTCCAAACCTCAGCAAAGGTAAGGGGGTTGTGTGAGTTTATTTGTTGCATTTGCCGTATATAAATATTATATACTTAAAAAAAAGGAACTAGGTTTGTACTTTGTAGGATGTCTCAGGGTTAAGAAATGCTAGTATCTTTTTAGCATTGCACACAAGATAACAATAGGGTCTGCTTTTGCACGCATTCTCGCCTATTACTTACTCGCTTGTTTTATCTATTTGTTCTGCAAGCTAGAGCTACTCTACTCCTTGGGGTAGAGGCAAGGTGTGCGTAATCTTACCCTCCCTATACCCTACCTTTGTGTGGGTTTATTATGTCCATTTGGTTTGGTTTACCCAAGATAACAACAGGCATGTGATAAGAACCTGTCGGCTGTTTGTATTGAAATTGGTAAACTGATAAGCTATTACAATAAAGAAAAGATAATTATGGATTCGAGAGCCAGATCTCTCCTAAACATGAAAGAACACTAATTTCTGCCTGTCTTATTCTCCCCTCTTTCCCCTATTTATTAATAGCCGTAACCTTAATTGGCTTGGGCCTGGGGTCGGCGCCTAACAGCATGTTATGTAACGGGGGTTGTTTTCGCACAATTAAAGAGAAGGTTTAAATAAGGTTGCTTTCAGCGTTATTGCTAGGGTAATTACTAGCTTTTCTGATTATTAGTAATCGGTTTCATCATAAATAAAGATGTAACCCCATGAAGCGACTAAGAAAGAACCGAGGGTTTTCTCTTTGAATTTGTGCGACAATCACTTCTTTTTGAAGTACATATTTATATACGGCAAATACTCATGCACACTCCTTACCTTTGGTGAGGTTTGAACCTTGACCTCATGGGAAGTTGGGCATCACCAGTAACCCGGACACTATTGGGCCAATGACTCTATACGTATCGATATTTTTTGCTAATTTGGTTCTAAATTTGTGTCCGTTTGCAGGGTGCGGAAGATATGAATGTAAAGCCAACAGTTGCCTTGAGGGCTATACTGGTTGGAGGTATAGCTGCGTTTGCCAAGATAGCAGGAGCTGCGAAAGCTGCAGGCGGTGTAAAACTGGGTGCAGCCGCGGTGGCTGTGACTGCTGCGGCTGGTGCCACGATGTCGGGATCGAAGCAAGATGCTGCTAACCAGTCATCCAAATGAAGGAAAGGTTAGATACAAGTAGATAGAATGGATTTTTGAATAATCTAATCATACAATTGTGTTTCTAATTTGTTTGTGGGTGGGTTTCTTCCTGCCATCATACCATTCCAGAATGATTTCATTCTTCTGAAATGGTGACTTGAATTTGAATTTGTAGTTGTGCATTTTTTTGATATGGTATAAAGGTACATGTAGTATTTGGTTTGGTTCATTTCTTATTGGGGTTAATAATGTCTTGAAGGTCATGGGTTTGAATGATTTTCGTCGTCTTCTGAAAATATGTATCTCGATTTCCCCAACCAAATTCATTTTTTAGCCACTTTTTCGATAGAATTCTCATTTAAGCTTAGAGTTTATGCAAATGTCTTGTGCATTTGTGTCATATTTAAAAAAGTCTTTATGCAAATTTGCTTAACAATTCTAATTTTTGCGTAAAGAATTTGCATAAGAATCCTCATTTGTGTAAAGGATTTTTTGTTTCTTTTTCTTTATCTGAAAATAGCTTTGTGCAAATGCGCGAGGCATTTGGCTGGGGACATTGGTTATTTTGGTCAATTTCCACGGGGAAGAAACGAGATGGGTGAAAGTGAGGTAGATGGATAAAAGATTTATGGAAGGGTTTTATTTGATATAGCTAGTTGGGTGATCTATCTCGTCTCTCTGAAGGATGGATGCATCATATTTTTACGACAAGGTTTTTGAGGGCAACCAATGGGCCTTTCTATAGCAGTATTAGGTTATCCAAAGAGGTTTGAGATACAAACTTCGAGGAGGATGTGCGAGTGTATTTGTCGTATATAAATATTATATTTTATAATCATTTTGATTTTAGACAAGCAGACAAAATTAAACCGGTTTCAACGTTAATTTCCCCGAGTGCTTGAATTAGAATGGACCGTGCCCAAGAATTTCTGTTACCAACTGATGTTCTCACTCCCATTCCGAGGTAAAATGCAAGGTCCCGTTTGATTTTCAGGATTCGTATGTAATAATGTTTTAAAATATGTTAAAAGCATTTGTTTTATTTAACAAAAATAAAATTTAAATAGTGAAATTCAATTTCATTTCATATCTTACAAATCAAACACACCAAAAATCCTTCCAAGCAATCAAAATTCCCGAACACCATTCTATCAAGTTACAGCCGCCAACTCCCCTGTCATCAGCTACATTTGGTTTCGAATTCTGTTTCATTCCCATATACAAAATTAAAATTCCACAAACATTAGATTTAGGAATTCCATAAAGTAATGATCTATTTGTAATAATGTTCTAAAAATACATTAAAATCATTTATTTTATACTCTAATCAATAAATAAAAGGTAATTAAAATATTTATAATTTCTTATAAATTATCAATGCAGAATGAAACTCGATTTCATCCTCAATCCTACAAATTAAACAGGAGATAAAGCTAAACTGACCAATCTCCACCAAATTCACTGTCTAGCCATTTTGGCATCGAGTTCTATTTTAGCCATAGTTTACGCAAATGCCTTACAGCCTATTTTCACATTATAAAAATAAAAATTACACAAATTTACATATTTTTAATCTAGAAATAGGCTTTACGAAAATACACAAGATATTTGCTAAAATGAGAATTCAATTCAACAATTGGCTAAGAAATGAATTCAATTGGGGAGATTATATAAAGGCCACACTATCATACGCACACAAAAATGATGCAATTCTAAAGTATGCCAAGAAAGATGAGCACAAAAATGGCAAAATCCAAAAAACATACACTTTTCTTCAATTGTACCTTTAAATAATTCAAACATGGTTTACCTAAAACCAACGGTAAGGTCTAGAAAGGGTAAATTGTTTACATCCGTCTCCAAGACTTGAATAGGTTGTTTCCAAGAATACCCCCCCGACTAACCTTACATCTGTCTCAAGATCCAGAGAGGTTGTTTCCAAGATTACCCCTGACTAACCTTTTGGCCAGAGAAGTTGTTTCCAAGAATATCCCTGACTAACCTTAGCCAGAGAAGTTGTTTCCAAGAATACCCCTGACTGGTTACCTATGATGCCTAAAGAACCCCCATCAGAATGCCAAAAACTCTGAACCCAATATTTCGAAATCATCGACCTCAGAAGCTACTACTGTTGCTTGCACTCTGGAGGTCGCTCACCCTGATCACCGCCAGTGATTGCCATGCCGCCGCCCACCTTCTGCAGTTCACACCAATAACACGTAAAATAGCATCTCTTTGAGATGAAACAGTTTAACAGCTTTACAATATATAAGTGTGTATATATACATAGTCAGGTTATCTTACCTTGTGTCCAGAAGACTGCTGATAGCATGAAACAAAATATAAGAAACGTGTTAGCATGCTCCTAAATAAATAAATAAAAAACCCAACCAAATAGTAGTATATCTCATTTCAAGGTGGGGTCCGGAAGGGGTAAGAGCGTCTCCAAAACAGAGAAAAAGGAGATTTGATGATTTTTTGCTGGGAAATTGACCAAAATAGCCAATCTCCCTAACCAACTTCACTTTTTAGCCACTTTTTCAATTGAATTCCCATTTTAGCCAGTGTCTTGCGCACTCGTGTATAATCGATTTTCATATTTAGAAAGAAAAAGATTCCTTTGCGTCAAGATTCAGATTCTTGCGTAAAGAATACTTGCGCATATGCCTATGGAATTCTTTCTTTATTTTTTCCAGATATCAGTCTTTACGCAAATGCTATTTTGACAAGAGGCTTTGAAAATGGCTAAAAAGTGAATTTGGTTGATTGGATTGGCTATTTCAGTCAATTTCCCTTCTTTTGCTCCAATGGAATCTCCAAAATGGAGAAGGTAGGATAGAAAAGGCAAAATTCTCCAAATTTGGGTAACACCAAAAATGATTGGTTAGGATTGAGAAATGATATTCTATTACTCACAGTTTTCCACCAATAAGAGTCTTTGAAATCTAGTGCTTAGGAGAGAAAAATATATTTTATTAAAAAAATTGAATATTTTAATATTATAATTAATGTTGTGATATCTAAAATGAAGAATGTGTTGGAGTTAAATGTTAACTTTTTTGTAGATTTTGATATTTGACTATATTTTGGAGAAATTTTGAAGAATTTGTTGGTTGAACTCTAAGATGTAAGCAGACCTGACCTCTGACCTCTACCTCAGGAGTAGGGCAATGGTTGCTTCCATGAAGACCCGGCATGTGATTACCATGTCCCATAATGTAAAGCATAAATGATCAATACAACCTTATCGGAAGAAATGTTACCTTCTTTTTGGCCTTGCTCACTTCTTCTTCCTCGTCATCTTCATCATCCTCATCCTCATCCTCGTCGTCATCTTCATCTTCAATGTCATCATCGTCGTCATCTTCATCATCCTCGTCATCAATACCTTCAAACTCATCCTCTTGAGCAGCTTCACCCGTAAACCATGAAACAGCATGGGGGATTATTTTGTCTCGTATTGTTGAGCTGCAAAAACAAGTGCAATACATATATCATTAAACCGATTCGAGCAACAAGTACAAAGCCAAACCAAACAAGCCCGATATGTCCCACCTGGAGGTGGAGGTGGGGTCTGGGAGTGGGATGTAAACAAACTTGAAGACAGCCCAGTTTGTGCAAAGTGTGTCAAAAGAAAGGTATAACTTGCTAATTTTTTTACAGAACCCGACCATAAGAACTTGAAAGAATGAATGGCAGTGCTTAAAATTGAAAACGAGTGGGAAGTAAGCAACGACAGACAAAAAGATAAAACCAATTTCCAACAAGTACAAAGCCAATTTCTGATTTTCAAAGCTTAATGGGTCAAACAAGGAATATTACTCACCCAACGTCATAGTCTTGCTCCATTTGATTTTGAAGTTCTTCGGCCTGCAAATAATACTCAAAAGTAGTTACAATATGAATCCACAGCTTAGATATTAAATTTCAATAAGATCTTACCATCTCTTCATCAATATCATCCTCATTCTCAGGCACCTCTGGGGGGCTAAAAAAGTTGAAGAAACTTTCACAATTCTCGGTCTTTGTGATGGGCTTAGCGTTCTTTGATCCTTTTTTAGGCTTCTTCTTTAAGATCTTTTGTGTCAAACATTTCCCAGGTAACCATTCAATATCTGTCCTGCAAAGTGCCAAGAATAAAAAGAGCTTAATGGGAAAGCATGCGAAAACATGCACAATAAGACAAGAATAGGATGGTTACCCTATTGCTTTCTCTAAAATAGGCTCATCATCATCAATCATATGGTATACTTTCGTCAAAACAGTGTTCTTGAAAAATGGATTGGCATCAAAGAAGAACTCAAGCTTGAAACCCTTGGGATCATCAATACGATTCCACTTGATATCCTTCAAGTATTTGAGAGCTTCTTCATCTCGTTCTGAGATCTATTGCAACATCACAAAATCAAATGGCAGACTCAAAAAACTATCTTTTTATGACAAGTCATGCCATGAAAAGGCTAATTTAACAGGGTTTGTACCTCCTCCGCCAAAATTTCATGGGTCTTCATTGCAGTTAGCCAAAAATTAGGCACACCCTTTTCTGCAAAAATTGATCAAAATAAAGCATAAGCTTGTCAATGACTAGGGATGAACAGAAAGGAAGAGGGAACAATACAAGGAAGCCGCTGATGGTACTTAATTTAATAGAACATATTACAGTATGATACCTTCTCCAGCTTTATCATCTGTCTGGTCCATCGAATCTCCATTCTTCACTCCATCGACCTCAACAACACCATTCACTATATCGTATCTCTGCGATTACAGTACATGGTGATATAATTTAGCATAACCAGTGGCACATACCTGACACATGAATCAATATAAATGTCCCAACCACCAAGCAAACATGCCACTAAACCATGTATCATGATTGAGTTGGCCTTACATGTGCGTTTGGTAGGCAGACGGCACTAGAGGGCGAGCTTGAGTTAGGTGGTGAAAGGAATCATGCAAGGTTTTAGGGTTTTAATCTGACATGGGTGGTTCAATAATATACAAATCTTGTTCCATCTCCCTGATTTTTGTTCAACCTATGCATTTTTGTCCCACCTCAGTCCTATCCTACCTCAATCTGGTCCTGACCCAGTCTAAATTTTGCACCAAACGTGGGAGTTGGGACAACAAGATTTTATTCTGTCATGTTCCATCCTGTCCCGCATGCCAAATGCCCCCTACAAAACATGTTCCCACCATATTCGCCAACCGAACTCAAGGCTGCTCAAGTGCACACATATACCCCATTACCAATGTTTGCTTCACATGTCCCAAGTTGTAACTCATTTGTCCTTTTCGCCTCCTACCCACTTGTTACAAATATAGCAAACGCAACCTACATATTCGATACCCAATCTACATAATGAAAAGACAGACCACAACTATGCAATGACTTAGGGGATGTTTGGTTCGGATTGGGAATGAAAATGAAAATGACACCGAATGAAAATAGGAATGGCTTTCATTCCCTCCAATTTAACCTGGAACGAAAATATGGGCTTCTGCACGAATGAACCCATTATATTATATAAATCCAAACAGTTTCTTTTATCGTCATTCTCATTGATTACTGCTTGATACCTCTAACCAAACACGCCCTAAATATGCAAATTGGCATAATCATATCCCTTCACCTTTGAATACAGTGGTTCATATAGTTTCTGGTATTTTGCTTCTAGTGCTGCTCTCTCTTCAAAAAACTTTGCCTCTAGCTCATCATGTTCGCTCTGCAAATTAAAAAATATATCAACAGAGCTTCACATAGTATGAGGAAAGCCCACCACAAAAGAGATCATGCACTAAAATACAAACAATTACAATTACGATCATGCATCGAAGAGAAACAGTTCATCCTAAATTCCTAATGCATATTAATTGCAATCAAGAATCAGTCTTCAAAAAAAACCAAATTAAGCCTGTAGATGGAAGCAGGGGTATAGTGCCCTAATTACCACCAAAACTGAAAACTGAGAGGTCTAGCCTACAACAATATGAAACTATGGAGCAGCAGAAAACTGTTCCAACTTATCAGTTCCAAGTTCCAATTTGAGATTCCATATTGTGAGGCATGAGTGCATTACTTTGATTACCAATTTCATATTTGGAGCTGATTAATTATAGAAGGAAAAATGTTGGTCTTCAAGACATACATAATTCTCACACTCGTGTTAACTGTTAACTGTAAAAATACCACCTTTCCTTTGCATGCCCATCTACTGTATGTGCAAACACATATATGCTACTATCAACCACTCTCCCACCACCTATCATTTAGTGATTTAAGATAACACAACTTCCAACACCAACAAATGTTAGCAATCAAACCAATTTCAGAAAACACAATGGCATAAAACACCTCATACATCAATTACCAAGCACCAATTAAGCATGATGTATCGTATATAAAAAATAAACAGCTCAAATAAATAACCCCTAATTCTCGTTTACCTGAATGTCTCTCAGAACCTCAACTCTTTTCCTGACTGCAGGAGTCAAACTCTCAAGAACATCCGAGTGTTCTCCCGCCAGGTTTTGAAGCTTGTTCTGTATATAATACACATACACACCGTAAGGAAGAGAAACAAATTTCAAAATCAATCTATACTAGTAAATAACTGATTACATATAAAGTTTGATGATAATCACTGACCTTCAATGCGTTTACAAGCCCCGCACGATCCTCCGCATTAAGAGCTGCACGAACAACCATAGAAGGATTTACATAAACTGATATGTCAGCAAACTCGTGAAATTAGGGTCTAAAAATGAAGATACCTGCAGCGGCCGCCGGTAGGGAGGCACCGAGATCGGAGATATCTAACGGTTCTTTCTTACTGTTGCCCATGGCTGACGAGAAACCCTGATGAAAAACCCTAGAAACGAAGAAAGAAGGTGGAGGAGAAATAAAGGGAGGGAAAGCGAAGATCGAAGATAAAGTATGTTTTTCGACCTAATAGACGCGAGTGTATTCACGCGCAATTGATCGCGTGAGCTGCTTCATCTAATTTTAAAGTTAGGCCGCAGAATAAGTTCATATACAATTTGGGCCGGAACTTGTACGAGGCCCAATAAATCTTCCAAAACAATTACCAATACAGGTCGGTAAAAAATTACCCTCTTATGTTGGTATTTTTTGGAGACGATTTTACGTGGGATCGGTTAGAATTATTCGTGATCAACATTCTTTTGTCCAAACAATTACCCTTTAAAGTAACTAAGAGTTGTTCAGTTACGTGTTAATGGGTTGTATAGCTTATTCGGTAAGCGATACAAACTTGTTTTGTTTATTAGCAGTTAATGAGATGGCAGTTTATTCGGTTAATTATATATTACTATTTGACAGTGTCTTAATGAATAAAAAGTGTTTTATTCAGTAAGTTCTAGAGGTGAGCTTTATAAGATGTCCAATTTTTCCCCAAATATGTCCCTCCCATTTAAAATAAAATAAAAGTTGAGATTGTAAATATAAATATTTATAAGAGAAGGTTTAAATGATAACACTTTTATTTTACAAAAACTGCTATAATATTCCTATTACATATGAACGGTTTTAGTCCGTAACAAAAAACGAACCGAACAACCCCCACCTGTCTTATATGTGTATCTTATTTAGTTTAAAATTTGGTTCTGTGTTTTATAAACCGCCCAACTTTTTGCTGTATCACATCTATCATGATGCAAACACTCCTGCTACCAGCGTCTCGTCGGCAAAATCAGTAATTCAGGAACCATGGAAATCGAAAGCAAAACTGGTTTCAAAACCCGACTCCATGAACGCTCTGAAAGCTTCGATTTCGGAAGAGAATCAGGGTTTAATCCCACCGATCGAACTGTTTCTCGTCGTCATATTTCATTCAAACTCCATGAAGATCGAACTAGGGTTTACTTCCAAGTCGAAGGGAAAAATCCCGTTTGGGTTCACGACAGCATCAATGATGAAATTAGGGTTTACAAAACGTCGGAAGGAGGTGAAATGAAGAGCGGAGATTCGTTTTGTGTTTCTTCGAAGAACCCTATTTGGTTTAATTTGAAGAAAATCGCAAGTGAAGAAGACGATGATGATAAATCGAAAAGCGAGCTCAGATTCGACGACGTATTAGCAGAGACTTCAGGTTCAGGGATTGATTACGGTGAAATCGACATTGGTGGTGATGTTCCACAAATCGACCCTGTTAAAGGTTTGTTCGTTATTTCGTTTTTTGTTTTTTGAAATTAGATTGCAAACGAATTGGGAAATTTTCCATGATCTTCAACTGGATTCTGCAATTGATTTAGGGTTTACGAAACGTGTGTACCGGGTACTTGCTTGGTGAGCAAGAACCGATAGGACTCGGAGTTTGTTCGGTCAGTTTTACGGCTTAATAATACAGAAAGTAGCTTATTTAGTAAGTTTTTCAGGACTGATCGACGATATTGAAAATAACTTTTTTGGTAAGCTTACAGGAGAAGCTTTTCGTAAAAAAGTTCTGTCAAATGTGTCCCTCTCATTTTAAAAAGCAGAGTCATTTTATTTATAAAAAACACTAATATAAACGTTCCCGATTTATACAGAGAGATTAATCATACAAATAATTTTATCCATTCAAGAATTAATGAAAAATCAACCATACAGCCCCTAAGTCACGGAAGACTTTTACCTACTAAACATTTACCAAGTAAAAGATGTTCACCGATAATTGATTCTAATGGTCGATATTGTTGTCCGACAAGGTTATTATTGAGGGTGGTGACTCTTACCGGTAAGCGTTTGGTAAATGACCCTTTAATTGAGCATCTAGGGTTTGATCGGGAGACTTGGGTGGGGTGAAAGATAGACAAGATCGATAAATTACTAAAATAACCATCTCAAATTTAAGAATATAAAACCTTGCGTAATTCTTTCACCGAGCTATCTTACTCTTACATGTCCACAGTTACGGGATGAACAACCCCAGAAATGTCATTTTTTGATATTGATTAGAATTTGTCAATGGTGACTTGCAGAGTTCAATTTTGTTGTTATGGGACATGAGTTTGATTACTACCCAAAGAAACTGATCCGCGATATAAGGAATTGGGATTGGTTTCTTGAGGAACCTAAAGAAAAGAGTGATGATGATGATAGTGAGAGAAAAACGAAAAAAGGCACAAGAAAGAGGAAGAAGGGTGGACGAAAGGATAATGATGACGACGATGTTTGGACGGGTGAGAGTGAAGAAGATGCCGAAATGATCAAGAAATTGAAAAACGTCCCAAAACCCAAATACCCGACATGATCAAAGAACCAAAAGAAGAACAAAAAGGATGCGGGTGCGAGTACAAGTACTAAATATGCAAAAGACGAAGATGATGACGAAGATGATGAAACCTTGGGTGGTTTCATAGTTGATGATGATGAAACAAGAGAAGAAGATGATGATGACGAGGAGGAGGAGGAAGAATTTGAAGAAGATGAATATGATGATGAATAGTTGTACTTTTGGTGTGGTCTTTAGACATGACTATATCTAACATGTAGACTTGTTTTAAATTCGATTATGAAATATCGGAATTATAATTTGTTCTGCTGAACAATATGAAATGAGATATAGCAGAACACGTTTGTATACAAGGGCATCTTCACGTGTTTTTCTGGTTAGAAAATGGGACTTGTATATCGTATTCCTATTAAAACGACATATTTTTCGTGTGGTTGGAGATGGACGATTTTTGGCGTTAGTGGGCCCACATATAAGTATATGTTTATCATATGTAAACGGTTTAAAATACAAATCATTAAATTCTTACAAGCCATACACATACACACTATAGTCGACGCTTGTATATTGGGAAATAATTGAGATAATTATTGAAGATGATAGAGTTCATCTATCATGAGCATTGCTTTAGATTAGGAAACAAAAGAAATATTTATGGAACCAGATATTCATTAAGATTAATTTGTATAGTTTGTAAATATTCAATGGTTTTTATTTGAAACTCCCTCTTGTCACATATATCATATATGTATGTATGTATATCACTCAAATACTTTATTTGTTTGGTTTTTCTGAATATTCATGAGGAAGAGGCAACAATCGGCACCGGAAAAACACCTAAACACATGGAACGAGCAACGACCCGATAGATAAAGGCATTCTTGAAAAAACAAAGGGAAATATTGAAGCAAGTCACCCTAAGAAATAGAGGAAATCAACTCGGTTTGTTGTTTTATTGCTACCCTATTGCGCCATCTTTGAAACTCTTTTTTTGTAATCGTGGATCTGAATCCGTTGAAGATAACAGCCAAGCTATTTATATTTTGTTTTATAAACTTTCTACGAAAGCGAAATTCCAATTCGTTCCAAAGATTTTAAATACTTTCATTAAATCCAAATCCATTGAGAACATTCATGTCAAGGCTCGGTTGGAAGGATTCATAATTGAATTCCTCTAATCTCATGTTTGGTACGAAAGATTTTCTAAATTTTATTGAAATCCCACATGAAATTTTAAAATTCCAAAGAAGTGGTTGCTATTTCATAAAATTCATATGTAATAATATTTTAAAATATATTAAAAGCATTTATTTTGTAATTATTAATTAAAAGGCAATTTCGCTATTTCAATTATTATTTAGACTAAATTACATTTTTTATCCATATGGTTTAAAAATTGTGATTTTTGTCGTTATGATTTACAATTCATTACTATTTTATTCCTACCTTAAAAGTATAAGGACCAAAACAGTAAATAATTGTACACCACAGAATTGAACAATAATTAATTGTAAATTATAAGGGCAAAAATAAGAATCAGTCACAAACCAATGGGATGCGAATTATTTATAAAATAATGAAATTCAAATTTTATTCCACGTCCTACAAATCAAACACACCAATGAATCCAAATACCTCCAATTCCAAATCCCTTAAAACCATTTACTCAAATTCCATCAAACCAAACACATCTAGAAGGCCAAACTATCATACACACACAAAAATGGAGCAATTTTGAAGGATGTCAGATGAGCACAAAAATGGCAAAATCCCAAAAACATACTTTTCAAATGTACCTTTAAATATCTCAATATGGTATAATGTGTCGGGTAAAAGTGTACGCAAACCTTACATCTGCCTAAATAAACAGATAGAGAGGTTGTTTCCGAGAAAACCCTAAAAGAACTCCCACCAGAATGCCAAAAAATCCGAAGCCCAATACTTGGGAATCATCAACCATGAAAACTACTGTTGCTTGCACTCTGGAGGTCGCTCGCCCTGTTCACCACCAGTGTTTGCAATTCCACCGCCCTTCTGCAGCTCACACCAACAAATCGTAAAATAGCATCTCCTTGAAATCAAATTCTTTAACTTTACGATATAAATACATACTTGGGTTATCTTACCTTGTGTCCAGATGACTGCCGGTAGCATGAAACAAAATATAAGCGACGTCATTAGCATGTCCAAAAAAGTTCAAATGAGAACCAGTAAATATGAATATATGTGTGTGTGTATATATATATATATAGAGAGAGAGAGAGGAGAGATCTTTTACAAACTCAACCATTAGTACAAATAATACAAACCAATTAATTGACATATTTATAGAAATGATGAGTTTTATTATTATGGTTTGGATATCTACGGAAGATTATCAGAGTTCATTTTATGATCAACGCTTTATATTAGAAAACAATCGAAATATTTATTGAATCAAATATTCATTAGACTAGATAAACGGTTGAGATTGAGTTTTACTAATGGTTGGGTTTGTAAATGAAAACCACCCACATATATAAGGTCAGGTTCAGAGGAAACTGTAAAAAAACTGAAAAACTAAAGAACACCCTTATAACTTGCACATGTGTTTACAAGTCATTTGTAAGTAATTTTTCCGGTACACACATGTGCATAAAACCCAAGAAACAACTTCAATTACTTGTATGCACATGTGCATATCGCACAAATGAATCGTAATCAAGTGTTCCTCAGTTTTTGGGGTTTTTCCCTAAACCTCTATATATATGCAATGATGCTTAGGGTCAGGTTCAAACGAGAATGAGAGGTTCAATATTCATATATGATTACACATGATACACACACTTAATCATATATGATTAAACACATGTTGCGTTGACCAACACACAGCAGGCAACCATGTTCACCAATTCACCTGCATGAATCGCTTTTAGATGTGTTTAATCATATATGATTTAAATGTTCGTATTACATGTAATCATAAAGATCTTGGAGCTTCTTGTCTTCTCGCAAATTGATCAATTCTTGTTTGACCCTCCCTCTTGATGCATATACACTATTAATTTCAGTAAGCATGTGCACCAATGCATATATAGTACATATTCATTGATGAATATACTAAATGACAGGCGTTTTGATAGTGTGTATTCATTAATGCACATATATATATATATATATGCATATACTGGTTGTCAAGATATTTATGATTCTCATTTAAACCTTGCTGTAAATGAATAATACAACATTATCTGAGAAATTTCACCTTCTTTTTGGGCTTGCTCTCTTCTTCTTCTTCCTCGTCGTCATCCTCGTCCTCGTCCTCGTCTTCAATGTCATCATCCTCGTCATCTTCATCATCCTCATCATCAATACCTTCAAAGTCATCCTCTTGAGCAGCTTCACCCGTAAACCATGAAACAGCATGGGGGATTATTTTGTCTCGTATGGTTGAACTGCAAAACAAGTGCATTACATATAGCATTACAAGGATTCAACCAAGCAACAAGTACAAAGCCAAATCAAACAAGCCCAGTATGTCCCAGTTGGGGGTGGGAGGTATGTAGGGTTGGAGACCCCCCACCCAGTTTGTGCAAGGTGTGTGAAAAGAAAAGATAACACTTGCTCAAGAACTAGACCATAAGAACTTTAAGAAAGAAATGCAGTGCGTAAATTTGAAAACAGGTTAGACGTGAGCAACAACATTTAGAACGACAGTCAAAGAAAGAAAACCAATTTCAAAGTACAAAGAAAATTCCCGATTTCCAAAGCTTAACGGAGTCAAACAAAGAATATATCTCACCCAATGTCATAGTCTTGCTCCATTTGATTTTGAAGCTCTTCAGCCTGCAAATGATACTCAAAAGTAGTGACAATATGAATCAACAACTTCAATATTAATTTTCAGTAAGGTCTTACCATCTCTTCGTCAATATCATCCTCATCCTCAGGCACCTCTGGGGGGCTAAAAAAGTTGAAGAAACTTTCACAATTCTCGGTCTTTGTGATGGGTTTAGCGTTCTTTGATCCCTTTTTAGGCTTCTTCTTTAGTATCTTTTGTGTCAAGCATTTCCCAGGTAACCATTCAATATCGGTCCTGCAAAGTGCCAAACATAAAAAGAGCTTAATGGGAAAGCATGTGAAAACATGAACCATAAGATGAAGAATAGGATGGTTACCCGATTGCTTTCTCTAAAATAGGCTCATCATCATCAATCATATGGTATACTTTCGTCAAAACAGAGTTCTTGAAAAATGGATTGGTATCAAAAAAGAACTCAAGCTTGAAACCCTTGGGATCATCAATGCGATTCCACTTGATATCCTTCAGGTACTTGAGAGCTTCTTCATCTCGCTCTGAGATCTGTTGGAAAATCACCAAATCAAATGGCAGACTAAAAAAACCATCTTTTTATGATATGCCATGTAATGAAAGGGTTGATTTAACAGGGTTTGTACCTCCTCCGCCAAAATTTCATGGGTTTTCATCGCAGTTAGCCAAAAATTAGGCACACCCTTTTCTGCAAATATTGTTCAAAATAAAGCATGTGCTTGTCAATATAGGGGTTAACAGAAAAGGATGAGGGAACAATGCGAGAAAGCTGCTGGTGGCAGTATGATACCTTCTCCAGCTTTATCATCTGTCTGGTGCATTGCATCTTCGTTCTTCACTCCATCGACCTCAACAACACCATTCACAATATCGTATCTCTGAGAATAGGAGCATGATGATTCTATTTAGCATAATCAGTGGCACATGTCTAACACAATGATCAATTAATACATCTCAACCACCAAGCAAACATGCCACTAGACCATGTACCATGATTGAGTTGGCCTTACAAGCGTGTTTGGTATGCAGATCGGACTAGACGGCTGAGAGTGAGTTAGGCAGGTGAAAGAATTGTGCAAGGTTTTAGGGTTTTAATCTAACATTGGTAGTTAGTAATATACCAATGTTGTCCCATCTCTCTACCCACCTACGCATTTTTGCCCCACCTCAGTCCTGTCCTTTCCCTGTCTCAATGTTGCAACCAAACGTGGGAGTTTAGACAACAAGTTTTATTCTGTCATTTACCATCCTGTCATGCACATCAAACACATACTACAGAACGTGTAACCCACCATATTCCACTCTGCTATGTGCTGCACAACTCAAGGCTGCTACACTAGCACACATATACATATGTCTGGTCATTGTTGTAACACCCTCGAAGCCCAAAGCAACAGGCTGGCCCAATAATTTCAAATCCAACTTAAAACCATAGTGGAAGTTACCGGTAGCCCACTACTTGAGCCTTATAAGAGCTCACAAATCCCCTTCTCTATCAATGTGGGACGAGTTGTTACAATTGTACAATATGCCTAACCCACTGTTATTGTGTGCTTCACATGTCCCAGTTTGTAACACATCTGTCCTTTTTGCCTCCTACCCACTTGTTACTAATACTAGCAAACACAACCTAGATATTCAATACCCAAGCTACACAATAAAGAGACAGACCACAATATTGCAATGACTAAACATGCAAGTTGACATAATCATATCTCTTCACCTTTGAATACAGTGGTTCGTATAGTTTCTGGTATTTTGCTTCTAATGCTGCTCTCTCTTCAAAAAACTTAGCCTCTAGTTCATCATGTTCACTCTGCAAATTAAGAAAAATATCAATAGCACTTCATGAAGTATGAGGAAATCCCACCTGGCTACCACTATAAAGATCATGCACTAAAATACAAGCAATAACAACATCAAAGTAATAATAGTTCATCCTCATGCATATTAATTGCAATCAATAATCAGTCTTCTAAGAAATTGAATTGAACTGACCTATAGATGGAAGCAGGGTATAGTGCCCTGATAATGACCAAATCAAAAAATCAAGCGGTCTTGCCTACAACAATATGCAACTATGGAGCAGAGGGGAACTGTTCCAACTTGTGAATTCCAAATTCCAATTTCGAAATTTCATATTGTGAGTTGTGAGTTATAATTACCAATTTCATATTGTGGGCTCAATAATTATCAATGGAAATTTTTTGGTCTTCAAGATGTAGATCAAATGTAATCCGCACACTCGTTTTAACTGTTAGCCATTGGAGTGTAGCCATCTAACTTTCAAGATAACCACAAAAATACCACCTTAACTTTTCATGTCCATCTAATGTTCTAGTAAACATGGTATCTATTACATGACTAAATGCTACAATCAACCACCCTCCCACCACTATCATTTAGTGTTACCAACCAGATAAAAACTAGCAAGCAAACCAACTTAAGAAAACACAATAGCATGAACACTTCATAGATCGATTACCAAGCACCAATTAAGCATGTTGTATCGTATAACAAAAATAAACAGCTCAAATAAATAACCCCCAATTCTCCTGTACCTGAATGCTTCTCAGAACTTCAACTCTCTTCCTGACTGCAGGGGTCAAACTCTCAAGAACATCCGAGTGTTCTCCCGCCAGGTTTTGAAGCTTGTTCTGTATATAAAACATACACATATGAGTTACGACATATGGTAAGGGAGAGAAGGACATTTCGAAATCAATCCATTCTACTAAATTATACATAAAATTTAACGACAATCACTAACCTTCAATGCGTTTACAAGCCCCGCACGATCCTCTGCATTAAGAGCTGCACGAACGACAACACAGAAGGATTTATATAAAATGCGAACTTTTTTTACTGGCAAGTCAGCAAACTCGTGAAATTAGGGTCTAGGATGAAGATACCTGCAGCGGCCGCCGGTAAGGAGGCACCGAGATCGGAGATGTCTAACGGTTCTTTCTTATTGTTGCCCATGGCTGACGATTGTATGCCAGACACCCTGAGGAAAAACCCTAGACGCGAAGAAAGATGGTGGAGAAATAAAGGGAGGGAAATCGAAGATCGGAGATTAAGTAGAGGTTTTTTCAACCTAATAAAGCGAGTGTAATCACGAGCAATTAATCGCGTAAGCTTTTTCATTGGATTTTTAAGTTGGGCCGCAAAATGGGCTCATAAATAGCTTGGGCCGGAACGTTTACAACGCCCAATAGACCTTCCAAGACAATTATCATCTTTGTTGCTATACCAATCTCTTCTCACCTTGAGTATGATCTGTAATATCTCATGCCAATCATATCAGATATGATTTGATTTGTCCATACATTTTGACTCATAATTTTAAAATGTAACTGATAAAGGAGGTATCAGTCAGTTATAAAGCAACATTTGATTTTCCTCTCCAACCGATGTATGATCTTATATTTTTCAATTAGTTGTATAAGACATTTTGATATTGTCTTAATAACATATAAAGTGGTTTTTTCAGTTAAGTTTAGAGAGAATCTTTATGCAGAAACTCAAGTTTTTCAAACTTTTCCCTCCCAGTTAAAAGACATGTTCATCTTATATATGAAAAAACATTTTAACAAACAAAAATCTTCGCAATATTTACATATTGATTGATCCACATCGATAGCTTTTTATCCCTACATGATTTGATGGAAACCAACCAAACAACTCCTAAATAAGCTTACTACAATGGTTATCTAGGTGGAGGTTCCACGAAGATTGAACAAGGGTTTACTTCCAAGTTAAAGGAAAAATCCTGTTTGGATGCACGGTCGTATTAATAGTAAAACTAGGGTTTACAAAATACCAGAGGTGAAATGAAGCGATATTTGTTTTGTGTTTCTTCAAAGAACCTTGCTTGGTTAAATTTGAAGGAAATTGCGAATGAAGATCAACACGATAATAAATCGGAGTTACTCCATGTATTGCTTAACCTAAAACCTATTTAGCAGACATATATTCCTTGTTCATCATCAGACAATTACTTATTCACAAACTTCGTGAGAGCATCAAGTTGTTTACAGGGGCCAACTTGATCCTATTTCATAGGGATCCCTAATAAGGGAGCATGAGAGCCAAAGATCGAGCTTAAATTCGACAACGTATTAGCTAAGACTTTTGGTTCATGGATTGACTACAATGAATTCAAGACCTGCGATATTTCACATACTGATCCTATTTAAGGTTTGTTCGTTATTATGTTATTGTTTTTCGAAATCAGACTTTATTGTAAAAAGAATTGGGAATTCTTCCACGATCTTCAATTGGATTTTGCAATTGATTTATATTAAAATTGAAACAAAAATCAAGACATACGCTAGATTGGTAAATTACTAAACTATCAATTTCAAATAGGGGTGTGAATATAAAAAGAGTTCAGAAAACGAGGGTGTATATATGTAAAACCTCTATATTCTAGGGGCTTTAACCGGGATTTTTTTAGTTTCTGAGAGGGTAAAACGAACGAAGATCACCGGCGCCGAAACACCGGCTCAGACTTTGAATCCCTTCGACCCTCAATTTTTGCCGGAAAATGTCGTCATCTAAAACCCTAATTGAGGTCGGAGTTTCGTTGACGTCGCGTTACATAAATCCGATTCTTCAGAAACCAGCATATCAGTTCGCTTCCCAAAGCTTTGAGATCGATCCGAAGGTTTCCACCCCACCGCCGGCGTTCTTATCTCTCCTTAAGTTCGAAAGTCAGTGATTTTGGCTCAAATGGACACTGAAACAATGGCCGGAGTATCGTTGGAAGCGTTCTTGTATCCATGTGGAGTTCCTTCTCTACGGCTCTTCCTCCCTGACGGTATTTTTTCCTCAATTCTCTCTGATTCTATGCGTGGATAGATTGTATTCATCTGAAAGTATGTGTTCTTATGCGGAAATAAAATCCGAGCATACTTAGGAAAAGAGCTGCAGTTTCAACTCAAATTATCCCAAAATTGTTGCAAAACGAGCTGATATGAAATTATGAATCAGATTGTGTTAAAAAAAAGTAGCCATCAAATTAAGTAATGTTCAATTGGGGAGAAATCTGCGTGACATGTTTTATCTTATAATTGAATTTAGTATCGTTTTGGTAAATATGGACTCTAATGTAATGCTTCTGTTGGATATTTCTGCGTTGAGCCCTAACCAGACCTGTTGGTGTTATATCTAAAACCATCTCCAATGGCTTTCCATTTTCACACCAAACTCCAATTTTGACACTACAACACTCCGACTGGATCTCCATTTTTCACACTTGGTGTTGTATGAACAGGAAAACACCAAATTGGTGCAACACTATTCATTTAGCCATTGGAGAAGAATTGCTATTTGTACTTTTGTACCAAAATTTACACTATTTTTTAACACCAAAATGGTGTAGGATTTGGTGTTACCCATTGCCCATTGGAGATGTCCATAGGGTTCAAATTATAGATGTATCAATGAATATGATAGTGGTTCCAGAGTCGTCTATATATCTATTAACTAAACGTGGGCAGTAAATTATCAAGGTCTTATGGGTTTAAGATCTAACAATCCTAGTTCAGTTTTTAGTCATTTTCCATGGTCATTGATGTTTCTTATCCTGTTTGCTGTAACTTTTTAGGTCGTATTTGTACAAGATATGCTATTCGAATAATATAGGTATAACTTTATGCAATAGTAACTCATATAGTCAAGTGGAGATGTACTTGCTTAAGTGGATGCGTGATCATATGAGGTGGAATGTAATAATGGTCAAGAAAATTACTGAAATTCCCGCTAGTAATCATTAGCTGGTAAGCACATTCAAGCGTGTATAAGTAGTAACCTTCTTGCCCTTGCTCGCTTTAGTTCTCATGAACTTTATAATTGCTTCAGAAACCATTCATCCTTATTGCAGTCTTCTATTTTCATGCTCTCCAGATGTGATTAACAGTGGGATCCTTACACTTCCTAAATGCTCTACAAACAAACCAAGGGAACAAGCAGCCTTGAAAATTAAAATAATTGCATAATCAAAATGAAACTGACAAAAAAACAATGTTAATATGGGCTCGCTTGATTTGACGTAATGTTTCCTAGGGATTTAGATTTTGTGGAAGGGTTTGGAATTGGGAGGAGTTAGAATCTTTTGTGTGTTTGGTTTGTAGGATTTGGAATGGAATCGAATTCCATTCTGTTGGTGATTTTAGTGTCACCGGTTACATTTAGTGTAATGGATTTTATACGTGTKTTTCAAAGGGATTGAACTTTGTTCTAAAACAAGTATGGAGAGTGTGGAGTGCACGCTTGTATTAGTCTAAGTCGGTCCCGGTAATATTTAGGGGGCAACGCCCCCTGAACGCAAAACGGGGGGGTCCCAAGGGGCAGCGCCCCTGGCGGGGTCCTAGGGGCAGAGCCACTAGCGGGGTGCGGGGCATCGCCCCGGCCCGAAATTATATAAGTATAGGGTTTATAGTGGAAAATTCTTGATTTTTCTGTGGTATGATTGTGAATCCTATAACTTGGTAACTCCCGTTTTCAGTTTTGAATTTGAATTTCGGATGATCGTTTTTTGGGGATACACACGAACTTTGAAGACACTCTATATTTTTTCTCTAGTTTTTGATCTTGATTTCTGCCAAAAATCAAGATTGTTGCTTTTACAATTATCCCAATTCGGATTTCGTGATACCAGGCATATACGGTCGAAATATCGAATTTGGAAAGTGATTCACACGATTGTAGAAGAAATCCGGTTGGAATTTAACACATTCTTTATAAATAATTTACAAAAACAAATTATAAAAAAAATAATATAACAATTATTAAATTACCTTTTTATAAATTGATTGAACATTAATACAAACAAATCCTATGAAATCCTGCGAAATACCATCTACTGTCATGGAATTTCTAAATCCCTTGTTTGTAGGATTTCAACTCCGGACTTTCCTTTATACCAACGATTGGAATGGAATCAAATTCCAAATTCCACCAAATCCCGCAAAGCAAACGGACTCTAAGTCTTGTAAATGGAAATGTGAGTATGTTAATACAATGAGATTGTAGAATTTGATCTCTAGAACTATGCTCTGATAACTTGCACTTTCTTATCAAATATAAAATAATGCTTACAGATTTTCTTAGAAGGATAAGAAATACAACAAAAATGTTATCCCAATTGTCTATATTGCCTAATTTCCAAATGATCTGCTGGCATTTCGTTTTTCAGGAGAGGACTCATCATCAAGTAAACCGTTGTGCATCAAGAGAACCTACCAGCCTAGCACCCTCAGGCGCAAGAGGGTTCATGGATACTTGGCTCGGTACATCTCTTTCCAGTTTACATGCTTCTGCACTTGCATATATGTATGTACATGTATACCTGATTCTGCTTAATTGTTATGTTCGTTCTCCAACCATTTTTTTTTACTTTGTGCTGATCAGCAAATATTGTATCTCCTTCGCGTATCCTTTTTTAAATGACCTTTTGACATGGTTTTTTAAATCTATGATCTTCTGATAGGTTTGGAAATGTCACTACTTAGTAGAAGCATGCCACTTTTATATACAAAAATGGCACTTTTATATACAAGGGCCTAAAATCCTGGCCAAAGGTGATGGATTTGAAAAACGCTTTTTAGAATGTTATTTAGCTGAATTCCCCC